GCAATCCCGCCACAAGCGGGAGCAAAGATAGCGCGGATGGTTCTAGTGGCCTTGCTACAGTCCAAGAGCCTGCTTCTCCTGAGCAGACAGACTCGGTGATCGCAGACGACCAGCAACTACCCAGCCCAGCCAACGAGTCTCAACCCAGTGAGTCTCAACCCAGTGAGTCTCAGCCCAGTGAGTCTCAGCCCAGCGAGTCTCAGCCCAGCGAGTCTCAGCCTCCGCCTTCAATCGTCGTATCGGAGCAAGGCGAGTCATTATCACAGGATCCCTCGATTGATGGTTCTCCCCACAAACCAACTGATTTGTCGGATTGAGTCAATCACCGACAGCCGATTTAATTTAATGTTTTATCGATTCCCATTGGTGACGCATGAAGCCCAATTCAAATGGTCTCCATCGCCATCAACATCACCACTACCACTACAACCGCCCTCGATTGTATAATACCCATTCCCTACCTACACTACTCTTTGAGCCGCCCTCCTTGATTTGACGAGCCGAGCATGGTGTGATGATACCTTTCTTTATTTCTTCTTTTCCATTTCCTCCTAACACTATCCTTTCATGTGCAATCATTATCTCTTTTCTTTTCGTTATCTACACCCCGCATACCCTGACACCGACACCTTGTCTCTCTCTCTCCTTGTACATAATCTCTTTCCCCCTGTCTTCATCCAACGCTACCTGCCATGGAAATGTCGCCATGATTGGAGGGCGTATCATTGAATTGCATATTGAGCTTGATGTTCAATGTTTCCTGCATTGTCATCTTGTTCTTTACTTCCTACTTTCGGAGCGCAGGCGCGATCAAGTTTTATATCTGCTGTGTATCCTTGACTAGAGCCGCATTAGATGCACTGCTATTGCTTGTGCTTTTCAGGATCATTCAAATACTCGCAGTTAGACAAAATCTATGTTCTCGATCTCTTCAATGTTTCAATGTTGCCACACATGTAGTTCGTACCTGTATCTTGTATAGTCCTTATCGATCACGTGCATGCCTTATCGCTAGATAAACAAGGTTGGACCAACATTTGGAGATTTGAACATTCGAACTCTCTCAACATATACCAATATTTCGTTGGTTCAATCTTGCGCATGCGAGCATCTCGCCGAGTATTGCGTTGGGCTTCTCCCTTCAGCACATCTACAAACCAACCATGGCAAACGATATCAAATAAATCCTATATCCGACGTCATGGCTTTTTATCCGAATTGCCAGGCCCCCGGCGAACTCCCGGACAAGCTCGAGCGTTCTCGTCGACTCGCCCTACTAGATTCATGCTAGATGGAGACTCCACAATATATGCGCTCTCCACTGCAACCGGACGAGCAGCCATTGCAGTCGTGCGCGTATCAGGTCCCGCTTGTACCTCGGTATGATCTCGCAGGACAACCCTAAACCACTGAACTACTGGAACTAACAAAACACCATCTAGATATACAAAAGTCTCTGTCCAAACCACCCCCTCCCAAAACCCCGCTATGCATCCCTCCGCACCCTCTACGACCCAACCCAACCCCCAACCCCAAACACAATCCTCGACGCCGGCGCCCTAGTCCTCTACTTCCCCTCCCCCGAACCGCAACAGGCGAAGAAATCCTTGAACTCCACATCCACGGCGGACCGGCAATAACAAAAGCAGTCCTTTCAGCAATCGCCCAAACAAACACCCCAGAACAAACCGTCCGCTACGCTGAACCAGGCGAATTCACCCGTCGCGCTTTCATGAACGACCGTCTAAGTCTACCTCAGATTGAAGCACTCGGCGACACACTCTCCGCCGATACAGAGCAACAGCGCAGACTAGCCGTGCGTGGATCCAGCGATGCATTGCTGAACCGGTACGAACGGTGGAGACAGGGTCTGCTGTATGCGCGCGGTGAACTGGAGGCGTTGATTGATTTCTCTGAGGATCAGCATTTCGATGAGTCGACCGAGGAACTTGTTTCGTCTGTTGCGAGTCAGGTGTGCGCGCTGAGCGTGCAGATCGGTTTCCATATCGCTAATGCGTCGCGTGGGGAGTTGCTTCGGAATGGGATTCGGGTTGCGCTGTTAGGTGCGCCGAATGCCGGGAAGAGTTCGTTGCTTAATCGCGTTGTTGGGAAGGAGGCTGCTATTGTTAGTACTGAGCAGGGGACGACGAGAGATATTGTTGATGTTGGGGTTGATCTTGGGGGATGGTATTGTAAGCTTGGGGATATGGCGGGGATTCGGGCTGAGAGTGGCTCTGGGGATGGTGAGAGGGTTGTTATTGGGGCCGTTGAGAAAGAGGGGATTCGGAGGGCTAGAGAGAGGGCTTTGGAGTCCGATGTTGTTATTGTGGTTGTTTCGCTGGAAGATACAGCCGCTGGAGTCCGGTTGTTCGTTGAGCCCGAGGTGCTTGGTGCTGTTAATGACTGCATGGAGGCGGGAAAATGTCTTGTTGTCGCCATTAACAAGTGCGATAAACTACACTCTGCCTTGCAAAGTGGTGTGCCGCAGTCGTTGTCTGAGACCATCCACGACATCTTCCCTTCGGTCCCGGCAGACCGCGTGTTTGCCATTTCCTGCGAGGAAGCCAAGCGGGGAGCGTCGTCCCTCGATACCACTACAGACCCGGGGAATCTACAGGTCTTTTTACGTGGACTAATTACGACTTTCGAGCAGATTGCCTCGCCCCTTGGCGTGGATGGAGATGGAGGGTATGATCTTTCATATTGGGAAGATTCTCTAGGTGTCACTCATCGCCAAAGCTCTAATCTTCAAAGATGTCTTGATCATCTGGATGACTTCCTATCTCAAGCCTCTTCTGCTGAATGCCCTGATTCCTCACGCGAGAAAGAACTCGGCTCTCTTGATTTCCATGCTGAATCTGAAGTCGATATCGTCACCGCTGCGGAACACCTGCGCTTTGCGGCTGATATGCTGGCCAAGATCACAGGAAAAGGCGAAAGTGGAGATGTCGAGGATGTGCTGGGAGTTGTCTTTGAGAAGTAAGTTCTGGAGGATTTTGGTCTTGGTGTTGGTCCGGATGGTGAGCTGACTATGGTAGATTTTGTGTCGGCAAGTGAACAACCCAATTCAGGGATGGCTCCGACGATGAGGTTAACCTGCAACGCTGTCTCATGATAACCTCAAGTGTTCGGCAAGAGTCGTGATATGCACTAGTTGCAGGTTACAGTCGGGGTGATTGAAATGGTTGCCGAGGGTGCATTCTCCATGTACATTCCCAGCAGCCTAATTTTGGCCGGACAGAAGCTTGGGGCACTGGCGGTTGGCTGGGGCATTGTACCCTCCACGACCCATTACAGGAGGCAGCATGATGAATGATTTAGGCAGAGATAAATGCTGGAGTAGGTTCGAGGTGGTGTAGATAGGTGATGTGTCGACGTTGCAACAACCCGATGCGATGTATGAATAGTTCGATAGACTAATAATGTATACTATGATAAAAGCATGAACCAACAGCGACTAACAACCTGATACTTATAAGAACGCAAAAAGGACATCCTAAAATTGTCTGCCTTGGTTGCCGGGCCCCATTCATCATCCCAGGCACCCAGGAACGAACCTCCCCAGGCTCATTCCCGAAATCTACACTCCTATTGTCCTTGTCAAAGACGCAGAGAAGTCTGTCAAACATGAAAGGTCTATCTGAGTCAGGATCCGGATCGGGTCCCCGTAAAGGTCCCTTAGGCTACTTGCCGTTCGGTGTGTCTCAGATAGGCCAGATGTGTCTGATGCCGAAATATGGCAACATAGCACGCCGTAAATTATTACATTGAGGCTTGGAAGTTATTCTTGTCGTCATGGATGCTACGGTATCATGAGGAATTCTAATGCTGAGGCGAGCTTCAGCTGTAGTCCTATACCTATCGAAAGCCGAGTTTGAGGTTGAAACATGCTTCCTAGTGTGGATCATTATGATTACGCCCATTTTAGAGATTTCTATACTTGTGTCTGTATTTCTTTTTATTGTTTCTTTTGCTATTGGCTGTATTACCTCTTTATTTGTTATTCGACTAAGATATCGGGGGTTTGATGTTTCAATTGTAAAACTCATGTCAGATCTAAGAATAGCGAGCTGCATGGAGAATTCCTTCTAGAAGGATTGTAAATCCAATCAAAAATAGAACAGAAAAAGAAAGAGACAATCAAAGAGAAAAGTGCCCCGAGAATCAAATAAGAAACCCACGTTGTGCTTCTGCAGAACCCACAACGTCATCCCATTACCCTGTCGCCGGGGCTGACAAGTACCTTGCATCCCTGGGCAAGAATGTAACTGGACTATCTGGGCCATATTTGGGTTAAAAAAGAATAATAAAAAGCACTCTAGCTTATCCATAATAAGCTAATAGCCTGGTGGGGAGGGGTGAGGTGTAGAGTATACTATAGGCTGGATAACCACCGATGGCTGGTTGTGCAAGGTGTGCAGGATGTGCTATGAATAGCTTCATTATCCCTGTCTGTCTGTATGGCTTCTTGCTGTAAGGGTCTGTTTAGCTTTAGTCGGTGATACTTATATCCTGTTAAGGGTTTTGTCTAACTCATCTTTTTGTTTTGTGTTTCTTTCTTTGTGATATTACTTTAGTTTATCTATTGTTTACGCGTTGTCTCGTATATATTTTTGGAAAATTGCCCCCCAAAACCACTTCACAGTTGATCATATTTAATATAAAGAGCTTATCATTTTATTGTGCTACTTCAATAGAAACACTACTATATAAACAACAGGAAATGGAAGATAAAAGGTTGGAATGTTATTTGGCGATAGAAACTATTCTACCCACATTGCAGTATTGCATGCCGTTGCATTTCCGAACCAGAAACAAACCACAATGCCTCACCTCACTGTAGCCTACTTCTTCCTCCTAAAAAATAAAATAGAAACCATTAATATCTTCTTTCCATCTCTGAAACCGAGAAAACTGGTCCTCAAAGTCCCCAGAGCATACCAAACAACCCACCGCAATTTCAATGGCAGGTAGACATTGGTATTCACAACGAGAGAAGCCTAGTAGCTGACGTAGTCGGAGCCAGGACACTCGTAGTACTCAACATAAAAGTCACGGAGAGCACCGAGGCACTCAGAGGGGTTGAGGAGGTAAGAACAGGAAGGGTTCTGCTCGACATGGTGGTACAGGTGAGAGACCTGAGGGAACTGGGTACGGCATTGAAAACAGAAAAAGGGATTTTGGTCTGTAAGCTTGTTGCCATAGAATCCATATTCGGGAGTCTCAAAGGCGAGGGTGCGAATACGATCTCGCTTGACACAACGACCTTCTTCGAGGTGGTAGAGGAGGCCAGAAAATCCAATCCAGTTGGTTGGACAGAACCAGCATTCGTATATCGGGAGACCCAGAGGGTTTTCGAGGTCTTGACGTGCTGCCGGGTGCAGATACATCGTGACTGAGGGTGGGTGTGAAGAGTGTGAAGAGCGGTGGATGATTGGACGTGAATTGATGGTCGATGGTCGATGGTCGACGATGGAAGATAGACGAAAGGGGAAGGACGGTGATAGAAATTGAAAGAGTGAAAGAGAGAGAGAAGAAGAGGAAGATTTGGACTTGTGCTCGTTTTATAGTGAAAAAGGGTACTTGCTGTTTCGGGATGTATCTCGACTGTCTCTTACCACATCTTCTATTTGCCATTGAATTTTCACCGTCTCCTTTTCTCTGCTTATTATATATCGCTCTTCTCTTCTGAGTCTTTCTTACGTACCCTTCGCATCTTTGGTGGTTCTTAGACCTAGGCATATTCACATCAGCCCCTTTCAGCGTTTTATTAATATAGTGTATATGAAGTATATAAAATATATAGAGTTCAGATAGAAGATTCATATCATGGGTGTTATGATACTACATATCTACATCTATTACTTAGAAATAAACTCTTTAAAAATCGAGTTCTAAGATATTCGGTCACCGAATCCTTAGATCCATCTATGGGAGCATGGCTCGAACTATATCAAATAGCCATTGGGTTAACACTGACGAGTCCTACATATAGCCTTGCCTCATTCCATACATTCCTACTACCTTTCAACCTTCAGGTATTACAAGATACAATGTCGATAGTATTCCCATATATCAGTTTTTGACATATGGCCTATAGTGAGAGATCTATACCATAATCATAATCGATGTATATTTCTCAATTCAAATGAGTAGGTATTGATTGAACCAAAAAAAGCAAGTTTACTACTTCCTCGATATCCCTCAAACAAACTTATTGAAAGTATACTTCAGAGTCTCCCAACTTGCAAGCGCAATAGATCGAACCTGTCCGATCATCGAGCCACGATACCGCCACGCAAAATGACCAGCTATCCACGTTGATCCCACAACCGCAGCTAGAGCAAATCCACTGACAGCGTAGAGATCCCAGTTTTTAGCTTTAAAAGCAGACATACGCATATCGGCGGTCTGTAAGTGCATAGGTCGCAGTTCCTTGCCATCTTTGAACCGTAGCTCATTGTCATACATGAGTTCCTCGATAAGATCGGCGGCATGGTACTTGCGACGACTAGCAACATGAGCAATGCGCTGCAAGCGCAGTACATTCTGGCTGTATGTTTCCTTTTCAGAGCTGAGAATCTTTTTGGCTTTGTCGTAGATCTCGTCCGATGTAAAGTCAAACTTATTTAATGACTCGGCCACACCCCCTGCGACGAGCCGTGTGGAGTTTGCGATTTGGTCTGAGAAGATACCCATTGATAGCATTGGCTTGCCGTGATAAAGACCCTCGTTGGCACTAGATCCTCCACCGTGAGTGAAGTAGAGTTTGGTTGATTCGCTATCGAGGATGGCACGTTGAGGTGCGAAAAATGGGAAGACCCAATCTGGGTATTTGTTGTCGAGTAGATCACCCAGGGTAATTTCCTTCGAACCGCCGGTTTTGAAAGGGAAGGAGGCGCTGGGAAGTTTCCAGCTGTCAGTAGAAGGAGAGATTTATTCTCGTTAGTGGTGTAAGTTCTTACCTGCGGTCAAGATCTGCTCGGCACGTCTTGCCCATAGCCCAGATCACGCCATCGATCAATCCATCCTCTTTGAGCCGATTTACACCATCCAATATCTTGGCAGCATCCTCATGAGGCAGGATGATGTGAGTCCCAAGGGCAATATAAAGGACTGATCTGTGGCTGGCCAGGAATGCCCCACACTCCTGGTCTAGTGGTTGGTAGGTTGGACTCAAGAGAGGACCCACAGGAGCAGCGGTTGGAGGTAGGTCACGCGGGATCTCCAGCCCAAAGAAAGAGTTGACAAAGAAGAGATAGTCTGGTTTGCTGGGCTTGTGAGGGGGATGAAAGACACCGTTGTCACTTCGCATCTTTTGGCTCCATTTTCCTGCACGTATGATAGCTGGAAGATCCGGGACGAAGAAGATCTCATTCATAATTCGTAGCCACATTGGAGCATCTTCAGAGGTCATGGTCCCTGGAAGCTGGAAGCCTGGCTGCCCGGGGATGTACGAACAAGGCAACTGGAAGACAGGCATATTGGGAGCAACGATTGCCACTGGGAATTTGTACTCGAAGTGAATATCGCTGGCTGCTTCGACGAAGAAATCCGCAATTATCATGTCTGGACGAGTGACAGGATCATCCATGATCTTTTTGAGGCCATGGTAGGTTTGAGGCCAGAAGGAGTCAAATAGATATTTGGATCCCATGGCTTGTCCGATACCCTTGGAGATATCCCATGCCTGCATACGTCGATAGTGACCATCGAGTTGCTCGGCGGTTGGTCCGGGACCTAAGCGATGAAGCTTGGTGACAAAGTCATACCCGGATTTCACCCAGCCCTCTTGTCCCTCGAGTGTCGCAAATTCAATTTCGTGGCCACGGTCCGCGAGGACTCGGCCAATTTCCAGAACAGGAGCTGTGTTGGTTCTTTAGTGTTTATATCTGTCACATTTCGTGTTGTGAATTTTACCGGCATGCGTGAATCCCCCGGTGGTAACTACCAGCAAGATCTTTCGAGATGGATGTACTTGGGAGTGACTCATTGTGAGAGAATGCGAGATAATGAAGGAGATGGGAAAATAAGAGAGCAGAGGAATGAAGTATGCTCCCCAAAATCGGGACGGAAATGGCCCCCAAAATAACATCCTTGTCCTTCCCTCAGGCCACTACGGATTTCGGGGATTTTCAAACGAATCCCGCCGAATCGATTATTTTTGGAATATAGACGGCCATGTACTTGTTTCCTTACTCATGCTCTATAATTATATCTAGGTAGCTCTTTTAGTAGCCATTCTAAAGAGTTAATGAGGAAAATCTCGAGAGCTAAACCCAGCATTTGAATCTCTTTGCTGAGAACCAACCCTGAGATCACGATGTATGGGTTCCAAAGTCACTGTCTCGAGTCAGCGAAGCACTCAAATAGGATCTGTGCTTGTACTATGCCCTCTGTGCAGGGATATTAGGCAGCCGGAAGCTTCCGTCTGAGGCAGCGAGGCTTGCTTTCTTTCGTGATTTCACCTTGGTTCGATGTGTATAGTCCCTTTATCCTGACCTTTTTCAAGGAGCCACTTCTGAGAACAGGTGCGATAGGCCCATTTCCCGTCAAAAATGGAAAATCACAGCATCCCTCAGACTCTTGAGGGACCCCAAGCTATGGAAGAAAATTGACCTAAGCGGGTGACCTAAGCGGGCGGCCCATATCGCTGGCGCCCAAATTGGGATTTGGCAAATATGCTTCATCATGGCAGGGTTTGTGTCACTGCTCCATTTCCTTGTTCAAATAATGATGAGTTATATATTGGTGTAGCCTGTGAATTTGCCTCTTTCTGTCCGCACTAGAGACCACGATCGTTTCAACAGCTCTTCAGACGATATCCTGCGATTTACGGGATCTATCCAACTCGACATGGATTGTCGTCGCCTATCTTCTCACCTACAATGGTATATAATATGAGCTGTGTAATTTGGAACTAAGAATGAGATTTTACTATCCCAATCCTTATCTTTCGACTAGGGTTTCTTATTCTCTTGTCCAAGTTGACCGATATTTTGGGGCAAAAAGGCTTGCTCATTATGATACAGTGCATCTTTCTTATCTTCTCGGGACTTTGCGGTGCTCTTCTTGCCAATTACCAAAAGAGTGTTGGGGCTCTGCTATTTGTCTCGTCGGTTTTCACAGCTGTTGGAGTAGCCATATTTGGTACACTCTCGAGCGATACATCGAATTTTGAAACCAAGGCTTACGGGTTTGAGCTCCTTCTAGTCATCGGCCTGGGCCTCATGATGCCACCCATATTTTCTTCATCAAAGTCGAATACCACGATTCAGATTTTGGTAAGTACTAACACGGTACTATCCGGCCAACCCCTTCAAAAGAAAGTTACAGCCACACTAACCCGTCTCAATCAGCTGCGATAATGGGTGCAACCAATACTGCTCGAACGTTAGGCGGCTGTGTCGCCGTTGCCATGTGCTCTGCTATTCTTCATGCTGATTTCAAATCCCATCTCAAGTCATTCCTTTTCCCAAGTCAGATCGAGGCTGTCCCTAGCTCCACATCTGTTGTCTAGACCTTAACCGGCCAGGACAAGATCCAGCTACAGCGGGTTTACGGTAAAAGTTATAATACCCAATTTCGTGCATTATTGGCATTTGAAGGGCTTAATCTGTTTGCCACGGCTGTTCTGTTGTTTGAGCGGCGTAGGATGGCTCGGTCCAAGAGCTGACGGAATCGCGTTACCGGAAATGAACAATGAACTCGCTCTTTTAACTTGTAGGCGTTTATGTCCGGATGAAGTGCATCATTTGAGAGGAATGAAAAAGTGGCAGCTGCAGGTTCATGCGCGGGAGGGAAATAGGAAATGTCTCGGAGATTGTCCGTTCGGAGAATTAAACTTCTTTTACCCCGTGGGGTATTCTTCTTTAGCCGAAACACGTGTTTTCCCTCTTTTGTCATATCCCCTTTAATAACGCAGGTGGTGAAGTCGAGTCCTTGATATTTTGATGAGAACCCTCTACCTGTACTGTTTATCGATATTGTGTAGGTGCTGGGCCTGAAACATTCTCAATGCCACCCACGTCGAGCCATTCCGAGAGCGTCGACACGAATGGCCAGGAGTCACAGGATGCATCCAAGTTCCACGAGGATCTGCCCGCTTGCCAATTTTGCCGAAAGAAAAAATCGCGCTGCAGCCGGACTCAACCTTGTGTAGAATGCACCCGCTCTGGCGTTGAGTGTGTCTATGATGAGCGTCGCATGAAGCCCGGTCTCCGTACTGGCGCCATGGATCAACTTTATCGCCGTATGGAAACACTGGAGAATATGTTCCTAGGTCAGGAATTCCTCTGGCAACAAATGTGGAAGAAGATGTATCCGAATGAGGCTTTATCAGCGTCTAACGAGCGATCTACCAATATTGAAGATCTCGCTCGGCGACGAGATGAGCTCAAGTCCGCTTTGCTTCGCTCATCATCATCACTGGATCAGAGGGAGGAAGAAGCAGAAACACCTTCTCGTCCAACAAAAAGACGGCGTTGCGTGCCGACGACTGCGCCCTTTATTCCAGTTAGCGTGGATGACGACACAGACGGTCTTTTTTCGACTGAGATCATGACGGAGCTAGTAAGCTTCTATTTTGTTAATATCCACCCCTGGATACCGATTCTCCACGTGACAAGGTTTTGGGAGCGCATGCAATCTCCAGATGAGCGTCCCCGTATTTCCTGCATCCTTCATGCAATAATCGCTGTATGTGTACGTTTCTCCCAGAGCAAAGAACTGGACACAGAGACGAAGGCATCTGTCGCCGAGCAGAGCAGAAAAAGGGTCATATTGGCTAGCACCGATTGTTACTCGGTCGAGCATTTGCAGGCATTGATCATCATTGCATTTGAAACAGTGAGCCGTATAGCATGACCCTTTTATTCTTCTGCTCAACTAATTCTTCCTCATTTTGGCAGATTGAACGAGGACGTGGACCTTCGTCATGGTCTATCGTTGGCAGTACTATCGGTGCGGTAAATCAACTTCAGCTCGGCATCGAGGAGGATGTTTTATACCGTCCGACTAATTCGGGTGAGTCGTTGATTCGTCGGATGGTTTTCCTGCCTCCGTCAAGGTCTTGGAGTGAAGCGGAGGAGCGTCGGCGAATCTTTTGGGCTGTGTTTTTGATGGATCGCTTCTGCAGTGTATCCACGGGCCGGGAGGTAAGTCTGGCTAGTGATTTGAAACGTCGCCTCCCCTGTGAGGGAGCGGTCTGGGAGAAGGAGACAGAGGTTTGCGCGCCTTTTTTCGGCATCTCAGATTCGAAGGATACCGCAGCAACCTCATCACTTCTGAACAGTGGGGCGATAAATTCGGATGATCTCCCAATAGGTGGATTTGCGTACAATATTGAAGCTACTGAATCACTTACATTGGTCACAAATTTCTTTCTCGACCATCCGTTCATCGTTGCAGATGCCGAGAAAGCTCGGATTTGGATGATGAAATTCAAAGAGTTGGATCTGCGGCTCATCCAGTTCGTTCTGTATAGCTTCAAAATGTGCACGTGTGGCTTACTAACCGCCATGATATCCTCTATAGGTGGAAACTGTATCTTCCCCGAAGATGGCGAGAGGCATCCGTCCTGAATTCGGACGGGGTCATGGACCCGAACCTGACACTGGCACATATCACACATAATACCGCAGTCATCCTCCTTCATCAAGCAATTGCATACCCACCCCCTCACTGGAATAATTGCTCAATCAAGCTGCCATCTACCTCATCTGCCGAAACGTGCCTAGAGGCTGCCTCTGAGATCGCTACTATTGGGCAACAATTCCTGTCGTTATCGCCCATCTTTACCAACCCTCAATTTTCTTTCTGTCTGTTTATTGCTGGGAGAATGCTTCTAGCCCATGCAAGATACAACCAGGCCATTGTTCCACCTGCTCTCGATACTTTGATTGCCGGCCTTTTCGAAATCTCTCAGCGATGGACAGGAAGAAACGAGAATATAGGCTCAGCCGGTGACAATCTCGCCTCGACTTTCGCAAAAAGACTCGTGGATGCCCAAAATGACTCTAGTGCTGCCCGTCGCCCGAGCTTAGATATCAGGCAAACCGCATGTTGGGACGGAAGTAAGGAGCAACCCCCCGCGCAACTTCCTACCGACACATCGCCGTTTCAGCCTGGTATACACAAGTCCGGGGCTTCCAATGGAGAACATTATTCTGGAGACATGAGAAGACAGTCACCGCAAGAGCCGTATGGCTTGGATCCATTTAGTCTGGCCTTCCCACCACTCCCACCGTCTTTCCGGCAAGGCTATCCTATTTTCTCTGCATCAGACCCTCTCTCGGTATATGGACAATCTGATGTATATCAGGCAAACCAACAATTGGACATGCAGTCACGAGATCCGCGCCTTGGTATGTGGCAAGATGCCAACGCAGCATTTGGAAATGACATGACTCTCCAAGCCGACCTCGCGCAAGTTTTCAATCCTACCCCTAATTCTGGTCAGAGGATAAGTCGCTATGGTGTGGTAAATATCGAGAGCCAAGAGCCAGATAAGGCCTCAAGGGATTTCCCGACCGATAACATCAATGGGTGAAAGATTTAATTGTGTTCTCCGATCAAATGTATTATTCTGCATCTTCTAAGCTAATCTCCTATTCCCTTCTATTGCATTACTATCACACGATAGAAGACTCAAGACCCATTTCAAGTATCATGTTGCCAAAGAGCAAAAAGTAATAGTCCGCATATACCAGCCCATGGTTTGACCACCTTCTCGGTGCGAACTCATAGTTATTAATGGTGGCTCCACCCAGAATAGTTTCACATGCCTTGGGCGTAGTTCCAATATCATGCACAACTTGTAGAATATCGAAGCCGTCCCCAGTTTGCTCATGGATACAGCCATCTGGGTAAACTGGAACTTGTGATACAAGACGTCTAGTCTCAAACTGAAGAGTTTCATGACCCAGGAACATACCAACCACACTGTTGACGAGCTTTATCGACTGATGGAGGTAGTGCTTTGCCTCTTGGGTATCACTAAGCTCTTTGTAAATGAGAAGCATGCCACAAGCAGCGATCATAGCTGCAGACGTATCACGGGGACACGATTCTGTCACTGGTGCATTGAAATCCCAGTACGGCACTCCATCTGCTGGCAAATGCGCAATAAAGTAGTCTGCCAGGTCTTTGGCTATGCTCAGGAAGGACAAATCCCGAGTCCAATGGAAGGTCTGCATGAACCCCAAAATCCCCCATGCCTGTCCTCGAGCCCAGCAACTGTCATCACTATAGCCTTGGTTCGTGAATCGAGCTTTGACATCGCCGGTCTCCGTATCAACGTTCACGACATGGAATGTACTGTTGTCTTTCCGAATATGGTGTTTTTGTGTCGTGCGCGCATGTGCCAGCGCAATGTCATATAATGCGGAATTCGAAGTCTCCTTTGCAGCCCAGAAAAGGAGATCAAGGTTGAGCATGTTATCGATAATCACCAAAAAGTCCAAGGATGAATCTGTGAATTGGTATCGATTGGTAATGCAGGTGTCCCAGCTGCGCAAACACTGCGTAACTGTGTTGAACCGACTCGCAAGGGAGTGCGCGGCCATGACCAAAGTGCTGAACGCAGCTGGGTCCCGTTTCAGCTCCCAGGCTTTCATAGCCCATGGTGCAATCATAAACCCGACATCGTGTGTATCACGCTTAAGTGCGTTTTGATGAAGATTGGCAGTCCACCACCGACATAGGTGCTCGAGTTGGAGTGCGTGAGGTCTTATCTCGTCGACGGGTTTACGTAGAGACATCTTTCGATTATACCGAATCGACCGCTCGAGTAGAAGGTACATGGAACCGGGAAAGAAGCCCGATGTCCAGAAATCAAGGGTTCGGTAGACATAATTGCCTCTTTCGTCGGTATATTCCGGATAGAGCACGGGCGGGTTGGACTAGATATAGTCAGCTCTGGGTTTCTGAACCATGAGTACTTTGCTAGTAATGCTTACGCTTCTCAATGCGCGAGCAGCCACACGCCATATCTTTGCCTCGACAGACTCTGAAAAAAGTGCCTTTGTCACTCGCTCTGGTGATATCTGAGCTGTGCTGAAACCATTCACATCAGGGAACTCCCATGGTTCTGGACTGATCTTTGTAATCTGTTGAAAACATTTAGCGAAATACTATATGCAAGGAGAGTATTGGGTTCAAACCATACAGTGATGTTATTTTCTAGAGGCATTTTCGAATGATCCGGAAAGAGGTACACCAGAGTAGTTTGGCTATCGAATGACCGAAAAAAAATGACCAAATTACGATATTTTGAATTGAAACCAGATAGAAAGGAAATTAGATTGATGTAAAATATCGAGGTACTTATGAACAGTACTTAGATCCTAGCCTTCTAAGGTGAATCGTGGTACCCGGGAGTTGCTCCGGGACTTTTCCCGCCGGAGACTAGGCAACCGACTCCGGGGAGTGATAGTGATATACTACGGATCTATACAAACTAGAATGTGGATTTTTGGATGTGCAGGCATTGATTAAATTGGGTGTTGAATGTAGAGGAATTAGACATATGAGTTAGTGGCTTATTCGGTTGCAATACATTGAACGCCTCTCTCCCTTGAGCAATATATCAGATGCATATCAGATACATATCAGACACAATGGGGGAGGCTTACTAGCTTACTCACTCTTACAGCACCCACTTGCTAAGGGAAGCCAACCTTTTTTTTTGGCATCACATAGTAGGGAAGCCTATTAAGGGTAAAATCCCATTAGATAGTCAAAGAAACACAATACATGCACTCGGCGTGTCATTAATTCTATTCCTATAGTAGACCGTATCCTTTGGAATCTACACAATACTCAAAAATAGAAAGAGTTGTAATGCTGCTCATTGAAGCAGAGCACAAAGAAGGGGATTATCCTAGGGATAATTCATGACACGATGAACTTGACATTTTTGACGTGCTCATTGACAAACAAGGGAACAAAATCAGAGACCATGTACCACCTGGGTTTCTCCATTTGGTCAGAAATCACCTTGTCGTCGATCTTGAGGTTTTCAAAAGTAACATTCTCAACCCGTTGAGCCTCGTTATAACCCAGAATCAGCGATGGGTTGATGATTTTGGAGTCACGCGTGCACAAAGAAAGGTTTTTGAAAGTGACATTTCGAACCGCTCTCCCAGGAGCAGAACTCCACATCTTATTATGCATCACTCGGATATTGAACAGTTGGCCGCGGGTGATCCTTTCCACCCGGACATCCTCTGCATGGATATCTTGGATGAGGTTTGAATCGGCAGCATTGATAGCAATGCATCCTTGATACCACAGCTGGTTCTCCTCTTGGTCCAAGATATCAATGTTTCGGATCGTGACATTGCTGATTGTCTCGGGTTTGGCGCAGTTGCCATGTGTACCCATCATTATAGCGTGAGCTATGTCCGGGAGCAAAACGCAATTTTGGATGGTGATGTTTCGGGAATCACCATACCAGTCCCAGCGATGAGAATAGAGGGCAATGGTGTCGTCCGAATTGCGCAAAAAGCAATTTTCGATTATGATTTCAGATGAACAAAAGAAATCCACTCCATCTCCGTTGCCGGAAGATGAGAATGAGCGATATCTATTGATATGCACATTTGTGCATTCCCCCGCAGAGAGACTGAATCCGTTGGCCCCCAAGGATGTGACACCTTCCACATGAATATTGCTCGATTGGCTCATATGTATTGCGCCACCGTGCTCTCGATGGACATATCCACCCTGTGGACCGAGGATGAAGCCATGACCTCGCACAGCACTGTTGGAGACCCCGACAAAGTTTAGCCGGAAGTTGATGAATGCTCCACCCGCGATGTACACGGTAATACCGGATGGTACCATGAGATTGACTCCGTCCGTGATCCTCGAGTATGCTGATCCTTGATTCAAGCCTGGTCCGAAGTACCAGATATCTTTGGTATCTCCATTTGGGGCGTCTGCATCAATGGTGTTTGTGAGCAAGTGGAGGGCTTTCCACTTGTTGCCATTCAGTTCGAGCATCACATCTTGGGCACGATCCAAAGTGAATGTGATTACGTTGTCTTGCAACTCAGTCTTGATATCTCGCGAGGCTGGCCGTATCGCCGCCGAGTCAACTGAGCCTGGCGTATATGTAACCTTGACTCTCACAGGTCCATTGAAGTCAAAGGACGCGACAGCGATCGAGTGATGATTGAAGTCATTGCGGGTGACGTTCGCGTTGGCCACGTCAATAGCGTAGGCCGCAACTGGAGACCATTTTTCGGTGTCTATTTTTGGCTGCACATGAACGATGAAATCTTGATTGATCAAAAGATCCGGAGGACTATCATATGTTTGAATTGACGCCGAGGTCATGGTTGAGAATGGGGGGTTGTGTTGGGGAAAATGAGTATGGTGGGCATTATTACTTGTTAGGAATGACAATTTATCGGTGCTTTGGGTAGTTTGAGTAGTTTGAGTGCTTTAGGTGTAAACCTGACATTCATCGGAGATCGGAGGAAGTGAGGGAGGAACTCCGTGTCCACACCAAATTGGCAAAGAGGAGATCCCGTGAGATGGGGTTGTGTCCGGAGAATGTCCGGGACTTCCTCCGGCCACTAAACTTCGTCTTTGGCAAATGTGTGAGTGTCGGCTAATATGGGAATTGGGGATTGGGGATATAGATACCTGACTTCATCCAACTAGGATCTAATTATTCACCTATCCTAAACTACTTGAGCTATCTTACTATTTCATTCCGCATTATGGCGAAAGAAACCGAAATGGCCACCGTCGACCATGAGGAGGTGAAATCGAACTTGAATATGACCGACACATGCGAAGATGGCAACGAGAAGAAGGATCCCTACATGACCGACCCTATTCAAATAGATGCTGCCATGGACCGGCGACTTTTCTGGAAGATCACTCGTCGTGTCCTTGTCATCCAGGTCATCACCTATTTCTGTCAATCTTTAGACAAAGGCATCTTAAACTATGCCTCCATTATGGGTATCAAAAGTGATGCCCACCTGGTGGGCCAACAAGTGAGTTCCTCCATACTTCCCATTTCCAATCTACACCTAGCTAATAAATACTCAGTACTCATGGTTAGGGACAATCCTATATATTGGTATCCTATGCGGCGAGTATCCACAAAACTTGCTTCTACAGAAATTCCCCGTGGCGAAGACACTCGCTATCAATATCTTTATTTGGGGCGCCGTTGTAGCATGCTCAGCGGCATCAACCAACTTTGCGTCTCTCATGGCAGTCCGATTTCTGTTGGGATTCTTTGAGAGTTGTGTCCAGCCAGCAATGATGCTAGTGTAAGTGCAACGTTCAGTCCCCCCCTTTTTTTTTTTATTCAAGTGTTTATGGGTTAATGTTTTCACAGGACAGGAATGTGGTATAAGAGAGAAGAGCAATCCCTCTTGAACTCGATTTGGTATTGTATGAGTGGAGTGCAACTAATTGTATGTATGTCCTTTTTCTGGTTTATATATTAAGTGCTAATCCTCTCAGATCGGAGGCCTGCTAGGCTTTGGCGTCTCCCATTTCACAAATGGCCCGATTAAAAACTGGCAACTTCTGTTCCTGGTGCTCGGTCTCTTTAAATGTGTCTGGTCCATCGTTGTCGGCATTTTCCTTCCAGATAGTCCTCTCTCAGCCAAATGCTTTTCGGAAGATGACAAACGTTTAATGGTTGAACGAGTTCGACACAACGAGACGGGCATTGAGAATAAAAAATACAAGAAATACCAGGTGGTTGAAGCCCTCAAAGATATCCTGGTTTGGTGCTGTGTCATGCTCATCCTGGTTGCTAACTTGGTCATTGGCGGCCTGGGAGTATTCTCCAATCTCATCATCCAAAAGTTTGGGTTTACGCTTCTTCAAACCCAACTCCTCAATATTGCCCAGGGAGCTTGGAGCATAATAGTCATGATTGGATCTGCGTGGGCATCCCAGCGATTCCAGCAAACGTGCCTTGTGATGATAGTAAGTGTTTTGTCTCCAATGGAATTGCGATATTTGACTAATCAAAGAGTATAGTTGTATACAATCCCATCAATTATCGGTACAATTGTCATCCTAGTTGTTACCCCGACTCCATCAAACGCGGGGGAATGCTCATCGCGTTCTACTGCACACAATTTTTCCCCGCGCAAGGCAACATGATCATCTCGCTCATCACTCGGAATATTGCTGGACAAACAAAGAAGAGTTTTACGATGACCATGCTCTTTATTGGCTGGTCCGTTGGTAATCTGATTGCACCCCAGATTTTCCGGGATGGAGACGCTCCTCGCTATCTACATGGGTTCTTGACGCATGTCATAATCTATGCTATCTACATTGGCATAGTTATTTTAACCCGGGTGATTATCATGGCTAGGAACCGTTCCAAAGAACGGGCGACAAGTGAAATTTCTCACGACTTGGCTTTCCAGGATCTTACGGATCGTGAGAATCCAAATTTCCGTTACGTCTACTAATACAGAGATTGCGCGTATATCTACGAAATACAAACACAAGTCTCATATTCTTCATGCTCTTCCTTTAGTAGATAGAACGAGAACCTAGATTTTTGCTTGGGTGATCATTTATGGTTTAAAGGCAGTGTTGATATGATCCTTTACCAACTCAATTTGTGTCGTGGCCATCTGTTCATCTTAACTTTGTACTTCTTTCAGAGATGGTAGAAGCTGAATAATAATAATAATAATAATAATAATAATAGTAGTAGTAGATTTATTTCCCCAAGCTTCACCTAAGGCATTAACTATGTGCTTGTATCTCAGTCGCCTCCAGGGCTGCCTATCAAGCATTTATCCCAACAGTTATCTCCACAGTAATCACTTAGATTTATCTCAATGGGTGAGGGTTCGATTCACAGGAAATTCAAGAAACATGAATACATTCTTGCAGTTATGTGATACTATGCATCCGATTTAATCCGGTACAGCAAAGTACCGTGGCCAAACGCATCATAGCCCCCAGAATTAGGGCCATAATCACCACCGCCACCTTCAACACCCGCACTGATATTCTGATTAACATAATCCCGGTACTCCATTGACCACGACGCATTCAAATGCTTAACACCAGCATAGTGAGATGCAATTGCCTCGTATCCTGGTCGGACACTGAAGCGCTGCTTACTAGCCACAACACTCAGCAGGCCCTCCCAGCTAGTGTAAGGGGTGTAGGGAACGGTGTTGTTCGTGTTGTATTTAGCAACATATTCAGCTCTATAGCAGAAATTTATTAGTCGGTTTCTTTTCAAGGTTGTAAGAAAGGAGAGTCTCACGCATGGAGAATCTCGTGTTGGTATGTCGAGAAGAGGTCAACGCCTTGATTCCACCCCTGCTGTCCAATGACTCCCAGTAAAGCAATGCACAGGGTTGCATGGCCTTGATCACGACCGGATTCTTGGATTTCCATCAGTTGCTTGCCGCCATCCTCCGTGAAGTTGGCGATGGAAAAGTACGGCAGCGCGCCGTTGACGACCACACTACTATCTGGCAGGCCATATTGCCAGTAGTGAACAGCGTAGTTGTACATGGTTTGGTTATCGTTGAAGATTCCAATTGCCTGTAGAGAAGCAATATTGCACAAATCCCAATTCGCATAGTAAAAGTCTGTTTTGTAGTTGTGATGCTCGAGAAACTCAAAGTTGTATTTGGCAAATACATCGTTCAGCATATCGCCAAATATGGTCTGGTCGGCCTTTTTCCACCCAGGATACACACGGAGAAGCTCAGCTGCATTGGCAAATTGATAACCGTACAAGCCTGCTGCGAGAAATTTGTCTTCGGTGCCGTTGATATCACGGAGTGTCGAGCCCCAGTCGTTCAAAATTTGAACTGCGTGGTCAGCATAAGAAGTGTTACCTCCTATGAGCCAGCGGAGTGTGAGCTGATACGCTGAATGAGCGTCGCGGTATGCATCGCCATAGTTTTGGGCAGGGGTGGGCTGCCATGTAGCGTTGGTGCCGCGGACCAGAATCTCGTGAGGCTTTGGAAGCCATGTCGTTTGGGCCAATGTGGTAGACTCCAGATGCTGCCATGCACGAAACCATGGCTGAGCTTCGGCTTGCACGTATTTCTTTATTCTTTGGATATCTTGATTTGTGTGTAGTGCGCCTGGGTGAACAAACGGTTTCGCCTGGGCCACGGCACACCCCGTGGATAATAAAGTGAGACACGCGAGGATATTCTTGAAATGCATCATAGAGCTCTGGATACAAAGATGGAAAGGCAAGTGATTTGACCATCATTTGATTTATATATTTGAATATCAACATTGACATGTCCCCCGGATTTTCCCCGGGCTCTTCTCCGTGCTCTTCTCCGGGTCCGATCAGGTCATTGGGTATACTTCACTCCCCCGCATATAGTCGGGGCATATTGCCGTTTATTCGCCCTTGAGCGATAATGAGGCGTATTGAAATGGCAAGGAAAAAGTGGGGAAATAAAAAGGAAAAGGAAAATGGTGAACTATCCTATAGACATCAGGTCCCGTTTAGGATTAGAATCTACTATACGAATCTACTATACGAAATATACAACATACGACTCCGTACCCTGAGAAATCATTCTAAGGGTGACTCTGTCGACCTCCTGAGTGGGATTATCTCCATTATTTAGATTGAAAAGTTCGAGTTCGTGAGATTAATATGGGGTTGTCGATCGCAATTCCGGCTTGCATCTGCTTAAATCCAACGGGGCGAGCAGCCCCTTGGTTCGAAATCGAATCCACAGTCACTTTGTGTTTCAGATCTTATGTAACTCTTGTAACTCTTCTATGCAAATTTTCATTTCATTTAACTATGCTGTACGAAGTATTACTGAATGAACACATGGAGATACTGACGATCAGATTTGTGGACGCGCGTTCAGCCGGACAGTCTCCGACCTTTCTCCGTCACTTCTTGAAGGGTTGAATGGTTGGTGCATTTTATGTAGATCTCACCCGAGACAGGGGCAAGGTGAAGGTTTCTATGTTGTATGTCAATTTTTTTTGGCTTAATCTATTCCATACAGTATGTTGTCTATAATGGGGATGGATATGCGGACTTCGTCCAGGAGGTTCGACTATTTATTCAAACGACCAGCGCTGTGTACTTGGAATCTGTATTCTCAGTCACTCTGTCACCTCCAAGATGCCCACTTTTCTGTCTTATTTATCTCTTCTCTCCTTCGCGCTGTCTACAGCAGCCTTTGTTCACCCTGGGGCGCTTCACACCGCGTCGGATTTCGAGCGCATCCAGAAACACGTCGCCAACCAGGATGAACCTTGGAATACTACATGGACTCTATTGACTACGAGCGGTTATGCCCAGTCAACCTACCAGCCTAATCCCAAAGAGACGGTGTATCGAGGTGACAACGGCGTCGATGGGGAAAACTATCCGTCCCTGTACAAAGACACTGCCGCCGCATACCAACTTGCCGTGCGCTGGAAAATCTCCAACGATACGAGCTATGCAGATGCTGCGGTCAACATTCTGAATTCATGGGCTGCCACTCTGACCGCCATCGAGGGTACTAGCGACAAATTCCTGGCCTCTGGGATTTACGGGTACCAGATGGCCAATGCGGCAGAGCTGATGTCTGATTATTCTGGCTGGGACAGCAGTAACAAGACTGCTACTGCCACAATGTTGACGAATGTATTCGCCTCGATGAACACCCGGTTCATGGAAGAACATAATGGGCAAGATGATTATCATTACTATGCCAATTGGGATCAATGTAACCTCGCCTCTCTCCTTGCTATCGGTATCTTCACCGATAATCAGACCATGTATGATTACGCGTTGAACTATGTCCGCAACGGGCCTTCAAACGGGGCTTTGCCTGTTTTTGCGATTGCCAATTACACGGAATCTGGCTCAGACAAAGTCCTGACTCAAGGTCAAGAAGCTGGCCGGGACCAGGGCCATTCGACACTGGACATGGTGCTTCTCGGTGTCATAGCCCAGCAGGCGTTTAACCAGGGAGATGACCTTTTCGCCGAATACAGTAACGAAATTCTCAATGCGTCAGTATCCCGCAACAATATACCATTGGCGTAAGACATGATTATTGACTAAGCAATCTAGGGCTGAATATGTCGCCAAGTACAATGTTGGCTATGATGTGCCCTACACTCTGTACCAAAGCTACCAGGGAAATCAGACTGTCATTTCAAACGCTTCGCGGGGAACTGTTCGGCCCGGTTTCGAGCTGCTCTCTGCTCATTACGGCCAGATAAAGGGCCTCAACTCATCGTGGACAGATGCCTACCGGGACTTTGTGAATGCGAATTCCACGGACGGTGTTGAGGGAGGTGGTGGAAATTACGGCTCGACATCGGGTGGCTTTGATGTGCTTGGGTTTGGCTCTCTGCTATATCGGATTTCCTAGGGGAGATCATTGTTCTAGACAGGTCTCTGATGGAAAGCAAAAGAAAAACATTCATTTTCGCTTCACTTTAGGACCTCCCCTTCTATGTCCGATGAACCGAAAAGGATCATTGGGAAATGGGTTCTTCCAATCTTCAATAGGAGTGCTAATGGGAGTGCGTTTATCTCTTGTCGACTTCTCTTCTTCGCTCGGTTGCTTCTTGCGATCCTCATACTCACCCACAGAGGAGTTCAAATCCTCCAACCATGCAGGCCATACCTCATTTTCAACTTTAAGTTCCCGACGGAGACGTACAATATTGTTGCCCAATTCCCTTGCCTCATCACCCAATTTCCAACTCGCAAGTAATTTCATAAGCACAAATTGTGATTCCAAAAACTGTATGTTGTGAGTGCCATGCTCCTTGGTCACATCTTTCAAATCATTCCGGAAGTATATCAACGCCTCCTCTTTTTGGCCTGCTCGGCCATAGCAATCCAGGAGCTTAGATTTCCAATTCAACCCCTTGCTATATGCTTTGGTCGCGATTGCCTTCCGGAGAAAGTGAGCTGCCATCGTCCAATCCTGACTCAGAGAATAGCAATCAGCTAGCGAGGCGAAGGCGTAGGCCTCATTCGGAGTATTTGGTCCATGGAGACTCTGAGTCTGCGAAATCACATCCGTGAGGATGTTCACTGCTTCCGACTGCGTCTTGAGATCACGTCCCAGTAAATCACCAAGGACATATTGTACGGTGAGGAGATTCTCATGAAGTGCAAACGGATCTTTGAGCCTCACGTCTAAAGCCTGCCGTACGATTGAAATGGCTTTATCTCGGTGACCCTGCTCAAACGCAATTTCGGCGAGCATCACACAAACCGTGTAGTCTCTGGTACTGCGCCGTAATTTTTGGGCTTTGTGAAAGACGGATTCCGCCTCTTTAAATTCACAGTTATAAAACAGCCCGAATCCTAGGCAGCATTGGAAATCGCCATAGCTTGGATGGGATTGGGCCTGTTCTATAAGGGTGCGCGCGAGAAGAACCACAGCTGTCCAGTTCCCACGTATGACTTGATCCCTCAACTTGTCCACTTCGGGGAACTTTGCGTCCTGGGAATGCCTCCTCAGCCATAGATTGACCCCTAAACACAAGGGGCCAAGCACTGGGCTAGCTCTCATGTCTTTGTTTGGCTTCTTAGTATAACCCCACCAGCTGGCTATTGGTTCTTCTTGTATTGAAGATTCAAATCCTGTATCGCTAGGACGGCGAGTATTGCGAGTATCGTTAGGATGACTAGTGTCGCTATTATCACTAGTATCGCTGTAATCGCCGATATCAACATAGCCATCGTCGGTTGGTTTTCCTGGGGGAGGTCTGGGCTTCTTCGCCAGTTTTACTCTGGACTGAGTTTCATCAAAATTCTTGGGGCGAGTGGAGACCCAAGAGGGCTTGTCATCAGAACGGAGTTTGGAGGTCTGCTTTTTACTGGATCCGGGGCCATTGCGAGGTGAATTCGGTGTTGTGAATGTAAAGCTAGACGCTTCTTTACTTGGTACAAAGCTTGCCTCTTTGGGCTGAGCTCGATCAATAGAGCCCCGAGTTCCAAGAATTGAAGAGGGTTTGCCGTCAGAACAGAGTTCTGAGGTCTGCTTTTCACTGAATCTGGGGCCATTGTGAGGTGAAGTCGGTGTTGTGAATGTAAAGCTAGATGCTTCTTTGTTTGGTGCCAAATTTGTCTCTTTGGGCCGAACTCGATTAATAAAACCCTTTATTAAGCCCCGGGTTCTAGAGGTCGACGAGGGTGTGTCGTTAGAACCGACTTCAGGAGTCTTTCCCCCATTGAATTTGAAGTCACTAACAGGCAAAGTGGGTGATTTGATTGTGGTATTGGTGCCATGTCTTATTGGCATCACTGTCACATCTTCGGGCTGGGTTTTACCAAGAAAGCCCCAACTTCCCGAGGCCGAAGGGAATTTGATGTTGGAACCGACTTCTGGGGTGTTTTTTATACTGAATCTCGAGTCGCTAACAGGCAAAATGGGCGATTTGAGTGCGGAGTCGGTGCCGTTTCTTCCTGGCATCACTGTTGCATTTTTGGGCTGAGTGTTGTCAAGAAAACTCCAACTTCCAGAGGCCGAGGGCGATTTGATGTCAGAAGAGGCGTTTGATTTCTTGTTCTTGCTGGATCCGAAGCCACTCGCAGGCAAAACAGGTGATGTGTATGTGGAACTGACTTTCCCAATCGGTTTCAAAAGGGAAGAACTCTCTCGATATTCCCTCAGCCAGGGATGTTCCAAGGAACGATACGCACTCAAACGATCTTCTGGCTTGGGTGCAATTGTTTTTTTTAGAAAGTCCACACAATTGGCACCAGCCTTGTCAGTATCAATAGCAGATTCTGGGAACTTAGCCTGACCTCGGCCAAACTCAATCACATCAATAGTGCCTAGAAATGGGCGCTTTCCAGTGAGCATATAAAAGACAATGACACCAAATGACCAGATGTCAACAGCGCTGGTGTAATGTCCTGTTTGGTCATTTGAATAAAAGTATTCAGGGGCCGCCCACAAAGGGGTTCCGGCTTCGGTACGAAGGGACGTCAAATCTCCCAAAACCTGTTTGCAGAGTCCGAAGTCGCCGATCTTGATTCTCCAGGGTTGCGAGCTTACAACCAGCAGGTTCTGCAATTTCGCAGTTAGATACATCTCCCTCAGTGATTGTACATCACATTCATCGGGTTTACTTACCGCTGGCTTCAAGTCCCTGTGTGTAAAGCCTTCGGAATGCATAAAATAAAGTCCCTCCAAGATCTGAACGGCAATCTGTTGAGCCTCCAAAACAGGGAGTGGCTTGCCCAAGTGCTGCAAGTGCTGCAAGTGCTGTCCGAGGTCGCCGTTTTTGAAGTATTCCATGGCAATGAAGACGGTATCATCGGTGTGGAACCAGCCATACGACTCGACGAACAAGTCGTTGTACTAGCAGAGTAAGAAATGAGCCGTTAGCACAAGCAGCCATTGCAGAAGAGGTGATCAACCATCTATACCTTTTTCTGAGAGAAATTGAAGATCGCCTTGAGCTCGCGCTTGTACGTTTGATCCGTCACTCCACTCCTTGCAATCTCTTTCACTGCACGGAACTTATATTTGGCTGGTTGTCCAGCTTCGGAGGTTTGAACTTCAAGAACTTCAAGAAAGACTTTCCCTCCCCCGCCGGCCCCTATCCCCTGTTCTCTTCTCCACTTCTGAACTTCGGGCTGATGTTCTCCATCATGGCCCAGATCGAGGGAGACATGGATGGTATAGGGATGTTGAAATCGGTGGAAGAGCCTTTTCTTCTCGACCAACTCGGAGAGAGTATCCATCTTGAGACTGGGAAAGCCCAAGAACTCAAGATAATAACTTCCAAACCCAGAAACTCCGAAAATAAGCACGCCGTTGCCCCTCGTATTCGTTCTGAGTCCACACCAATCACATGGCAGTTTTGTAGACGAGGCGTTCAAGCTACTGCGTCCGAAATATCTTGGCTGCATCTTAGCGCGATCAGCCATCACCCATCAGCCCCCCCAGCCCCCAGCCCCAGCCCTAATGGGCACCAAAATATCATTGAGGGGCTACTCTATTAAAGGCTATTCAAGATTCAAGAAAAGAAAAAAAAATACAGCTGCAGGATAACGTCATACCCCTGATGTTTGGATAGTTCTTGACTCCAAATATCTTTTTACCCCAATGCTTTGTGGCCTCCTCGGGGACCTTCCGGGGTATGAAGGGGGCGTAAAGGCCGTTAGCTTCCCCGAAAGCCCGACGAGGCTGAGTGCGGTGCTGCAGGCGTTCTGAATAAGTTAGCACCACACACAGCCCAGGAGATATCTAATACATAGAGCTATTTCCAGCGAAATACTTATAATTAAACCGACAGTTTTCAAACCTGGAATATCCCAATGTCTGGCGTTGAATTAGGCTTAGCTGTGCTTTCCACGGCTGATCTCTGTTTGAAGTGAGTTGTATCTCATCCAGCCCGAGCTCCCTAAGTTGACTGACTCGTTTTAGATATGGAAGTATATTATTAGAAAGGTATCGTACCTTCAAAGGGGCCGAATCGGAAATCGACGACAAGATTCTTTCCATCGAACTTTTTCAAGTGAAAACTGAGTGCCAAATGGACTTCCTCAAGAATATATGGCATACTCTACCCTCCAAGTATCAGGACTGTCTGGGTCTTATCTATCCCAAGTTGCAAGGAAAGCTGCAAATTGCGGTTCAAGCCGTCGAAAAGATCTTAAAGAAACATGCGCCGGACAAAGGTTCTCTGGGCTGGTCAAAGCGCCTGTTGTACACCATGCGACTCAAAGAAACCATCGAGAGAACCATCGAAGATGTGAATGAATGGCAGAGGATATTCGAACCTACATGGTTTTTAGTACTGAGGGTCTCAGACTCAGCGGTCCGTACTGAGCTCCGTCGCAATGCTCAATCCTCTTCAGCTCTTACCCCAAGCTACCATCTCTGCAATTCATTAGAGAATAAAGTCAATGAAGATATAGGAATAACTCTATCGGCCAAGATTCTTCAAGGTGCACAGCGTTCAAATATCACATTCTCGGAGGCCTCTCTGGTTGTTATCCCAGGGAAAAGACCTATTCTCATCGATTCGGCAGAGTGTCAGACATCCAATATATCGGCATTCACTAAGGACGTCCGATACTTAGCGCAGAGGCTTCGAAATGCTGACCCACTCGTCTTCCAAATCCTCAATTGTGGCGGTATAATCCACGCTAAAGACACCCCTCAACATATATCCCGTTTCGACTTCGTCTTTCAGATCCCTAAAGGCATGGGACGACCACAGACCTTACGACAACTACTCCTCACAGGCTGTCAAACTTATCCTCTCAGCGACCGAGTGCGTATCGCAAACCAGCTGGCGAAATCGGTCAGTTTCGTCCACATGTACAGCCTTGTACATAAGAATATTCGACCCGAAACCATCATGATCCTCGAAGATGGACAGTCGGAGCTGGGCTCACTTTTTCTGACCGGATTCAAAATCTTCCGTATGGTGGGTGAGCAATCGGGGCGATTGGGGGACTCGGACTGGGCACGAAACATCTACCGTCATCCGCGGCGTCAAGGTCTATATCCCGAGGAGGACTATCGCATGCTGCATGACATTTATAGTCTCGGCGTTTGTTTGCTGGAAATTGGACTCTGGGAATCCTTGGTCCAATACGAATCTTTCTCGAATCATGGGGAGATGTACCTGTACCCGAACAAAGTCTTTCAAGCAAGCGGCACCAACCCACCCAACGTATATGCCAGTAAAGCACTATTCGAGGATCTCGCCAAGAACGTGCTCCCAGCTAAGATGGGGAAGATTTATGCGCAGGTCGTGTTGACTTGTCTTACCTATTACGATGAGGAGCAGGATGCTATAGTGGAGGGTGTGACATATATCGAAAGAGTGAGTTTTGACTTATGATCAAATGGTACGTCGCTGACTGGAGATAGGTATTGATGCGATTGGGGGAAATATCAGTCTAAGCCACTGAGTTGGCTTCAGGCCGGACGAGGGAAGAATGTTTTAATTTAAATTAACAGAAACATGTATTATGCCAATGTATAGTAACCTTGAGTGGTATGTAACTCCTCGGGTCGAGAATTCTGACGGGAAATATTATTATTTCTGTCCCTTCAAATGAGTGCGATTTATATACTTCGAAGACAAACACTGCAAAACAGTTACGTAATACAGCACGTGCCTCTTATGCCGATGTCGGTCTTCATCTGCTATATCTCACTACTTTGTACGGAGTACATATAGACTCTACCGAGTACAGAAAGAGCAATTGGATCTAGGAAGAGAATGAGGTCTTTTAATTCCCATCTATATATGTACATGTTACATATATGTATACCCTTGGGAGAACAACCATTCCATACTATACAACCTTGTATGTCGATCAACCCCGCCATTCCCACGTTGATCTCGAAATCTCGAATAGATTAGATCCTAGACAATTGTGATATGCCTAAGTCTATGTATTCTTAGTCCGTTCAACCCATTTTTAAGAAATAATTTTGCATCTTCAACTTCCGAAATAGTGAATAGTGACTCAATGGCCCATACCGAATTAACTCATACCCCGCCATAGTTAGGATGGACCTATAAAACAGTCAATTCCACCTATAAACGTAGATCCGGTGAAAATATTCTACTGCACGTTCAAATTCTAATAAATCCTGTCATTTGAACATATAATAAGCCATATCCCTTCATACTTTTCCTCCAAGGTTGATCCACTGCGGTCCACACTTTTGAGGTTTTTCTCTCCCGCTTCTCTCTTTCTCTTTTACCTCAGTCCACCTCAATTAATCACATCATGCCTTCCCGACAAGAAGTCTCCTACTTTGGAGCTGGTCCAGCTCCCCTCCCAACTTCGGTCGTCGAAGCCGGCGCAAAGGCATTCGTCAACTTCAACGATACCGGACTCGGACTCGGCGAGATCTCCCACCGCTCCCCCGCCGCCAACAAGATCCTCAACGATGCCAAAGCAAACCTCTCCACTCTCCTCGACATCCCTGATAACTATGAGGTCCTGTTCATGCAGGCCGGAGGCAGTGGCGGGTTCAGCGCTGTCGTGCAGAACTTGGTCCCCGTCTGGATTGAGCGCCGCCGCCGCAGGGCCGAGGCCGACGTGAAGAAGGCACAGCCCGATGCGGAACAGGCTCAGGTTGACGAATTGGTCTTCCAGAGATTGCAGAAGGAGGTCGACGAGGAGTTGAAGCTGGATTACCTCGTGACTGGATCTTGGTCGCTCAAGGCTGCCCAGGAAGCGAGCAGAATGATCGGTTCGAAATACGTCAATATTGCTCTTGATGCTCGCAAGGCCAACAATGGCAAATTTGGAAAAATCCCTGCTGAGGACTCCTGGTCGTTGACTCCTACCAAGAAGGAGGGCGGCAAGGGTTCGGCGTTTGTCTACTTCTGCGACAACGAGACCGTCGATGGTGTCGAATTCCAGCAGCACCCCAAGTCATTGGAGGCTCAGGGTCAGGATCCCGAAGATGAGCGTCTCGTCGTCGCCGATTTGAGCTCCAACTTCATCAGCCGCAAGGTTGATGTCAGTAAATACGCTGTCCTTTTCGTACGTTGCCCCCCCCTCTCGTTATGGGACTAGTAAACTAACAATCTATACAGGGTGGTGCACAGAAGAATATCGGTGTTGCCGGTATCTCCATTGCCATCGTTCGCAAGGATCTCCTCCCTCCCCAGACCGCGACTCCTCCCCCTGCTCTCCTCCATCGGTTGAACATTGGCGGTCTCCCCGGCTCAATCGTTCTCGACTACGCAACCCTCGCAAAGAACAACTCCCTCTACAACACCCTCCCCATCTTCAACCTTTGGATTGCCGGTCAGGTCATGGCCGACCTGGTGGCCCAGTTTGGCGCCCAAAAGGTCAGCGGGCAAGAGGAAATCGCCAAAAAGAAGGCGCAGCTTATCTACGGTGCTTTGGACAAGTTCCCTCAAGTGTACCAGGTTGTCCCTGATGTTAGCGTCCGCAGCCGCATGAACATCTGCTTCCGTGTCAGCGGTGGTGATGATGCGAAGGAAAAGGAGTTCATCGCTGGCGCTGAGAAGCGTCTTCTCCAGGGCCTCAAGGGCCACCGCAGTGTAGGCGGTATGCGTGCCAGCAACTACAATGCCGTTCCATTGGAGAACGTGCAGAAGTTGGTGAAGTACCTCGAGGACTTTGCTACAGAACAGTAGATTGCGTTTGGATATAAAATCGGTGTTTGAGCGAATTCAACCTGGGGCTTTGGGCCAGGAATGTGTGATGGGTAACGAAATAGGACGCTAGAATGTGTCCAGGACAGTTGCGACTGTTTATTCAACATAACTCCCAGTATATCCATGCTATATATATGCTTTAATGACAAAAGGATTCCGATATTGGTACAAAATGGTTCAAAAGCCCAAGAGAAAGTAGTCAGAGCTTCCACACTCCCCAGTCTTTGAGATCAAGTTCCTTGATGACTCCTTTTAGGGGGCCCTGGAGCTCCTGGCCTTGTGCCCACACCTTGGGCCCAGCCATGTAGCTAATGAATCCCTCAGGACCGGAAACCAAAATCAACTTGCTCTTGCTCTTGCGAGAGTCATTCGTTGAAGCTGGTGCGATAGCACCTCGGATATCTTCCTTTCTAATGAACGTGTTCTCCTCGTCCAAATAGTAATCCACAGTGACCTGTCCAGGATACTGAGACTTGAGCGCCTCTAGCTCTCGCACAATAATAGAACTGCCTTCTGTCCGCACAACATCCACGGCATTTTCCGACGTAGTATCCTGACTCTTCGGCGAGCCAAACCACCCAGAGAACCAGCCCCGGCGTGGCTGCGGCTTCAGCGAGTCACTGTGACCACCAGCGCAGTCATCCTTCAGCCGATTCGCCCACAAGATGTGGATCTTCGGCCGACGTTCAGTGTGATTGCGATTCAAAAGAGAATATGCAGCCTGCAGAGCCGGCGCAATCCCCGTCCCACCAGCAATAAAGAGAATATCCTCCGTTTCTTTCGGTATCGCGCATTCAATCTTGGGTCCACGCATCTCGACATCGGCGCCTACGTCGATGTTATGCAGATAGCGCGAAACCTCTCCAAAGGGATCTTTCCGAATAAAGAACCGTAGGCAGCCCTCATTCTCATCGTCGACGCTTAGCGATGTCGCCGCTGTCGTGGGTAGTGGCGTGTAATCTCGTCCGATTTGTAATTGTGGTTGTTTGAACATCACACTCCAGACTCCTGTTTGCCATGCTTCCTCGTAAACATCGTAGTTGCTGTCGCTGGGTTTGCGTGGTCGCAGCGTGAAGAGGCTGCTGGTTGCTGACACGGGCTCGCGTGATACAAGACTGTATTTGGTAAATGTTTCAGGGTTTAAGGTTGCGGAGGATGTGTTTTGAGATCGGATATAGGCGCCTGCGCCTGCTGCTGTTGCGCCCACGAAGACGATGCTTAGCCAGCGGCGTGAGTTGGAACGGGAGGACTTTGGTGACGTTGAGGGTGCCGAGGTTGAAGCATAGCGTACAGGCCGAGCTACAGCTCCAAGACCTTGGCTGCTTCTACGGCATAAAGAGGATAGGTTGTTCATGTGGAAGCGTAATTGAAGAGAAAAAGAAATCGCGGGGGCGGAAGTCCGAAGGGTCGAGGCTAAGAGAGAGCCGATTGGGCGATCGACAAGAAAATGCACCCCTTTAGCGGCTTCTTCTTCTTCACTTCAACTCACTTTGGAGATTTCTCATCTCTACGGATTTGACATTCTCGACATTCTCCGTATTCTCTTCGGGCAATGGAGACTCCCCTTGGCCACTCCTGACGACATACCTTTCCGCCATCCTCCCCTCTTTCTCTCCTTGACGACCTATAGACGCTAGACACGCTAGACACAAAAAGAATATGTCGAATACATATCAAGGCAACAAGAATGGCAGCCTTGCCGCGCCTCGAGATTCACTAGAACTCGCCTCCCTCGCATCCTCATCCCCCGGCTCCGTAGGCGGCTCATCACGCTCCTCTTCCCCCGACGGCATCTCCTCATCTTCCCCCGACGGCATCTCCTCATCCCGCAAGCTCTCCCTCGAGGACGAAGACCCCCTCGCAGAATCGCATACAGATGCGGAGCTAGGAACAGGCCGCCACAGAGCTCAGAGCTCATATTCCATATCCTCAGCTTTCGACTTCGGGGGCACTCTATTCCCGCTGTCGCAAACACAAGGTGGCTACGCGCCCCTAGGTACTCCGTCCGCGGACAGACCAGCATTCACAGATGGATCGCTGGAGCGGAATAAAACATTGACATACCTGAATGGACTGTCACTCATTGTCGGGCTGATTATTGGATCTGGTATCTTCTCGTCGCCGAGTCAGGTCAATGCCAACGCGGGGTCGCCGGGCGCCTCGCTCATCGTTTGGGCCGTGGCTGGTCTATTGGCTTGGACAGGGGCTGCGAGCTATGCAGAGCTGGGAGGGGCGATTCCATTGAATGGAGGCTCACAGATCTATCTGTCCAAGATCTTTGGAGAGCTGACGGGCTTCCTTTTTGCATGGTGCGCCGTGTTAGTACTGAAACCTGGCTCTGCAGCGATTATCTCTCTCATTTTTGGCGAGTATGTCGTTCGCGCATTCGTGGGTGCCGATGTGGGCGATGTTAATCCTTGGATCAATAAGGGTGTTGCATTTGGAGGGCTTTTGGCAGTGACTCTGCTCAACTGCATCTCCACTAAGTTCGCCACACGCATTGGTGATTTCTTCATGTTCTTCAAGTTCGTTGCTCTGCTGGGTGTCACCATCATTGGCATTATAGTCGCTGTGACTGGCTTCTCGGCTGGAGGAAACGCAAACGAAGAATGGAAGACCACAGGATGGTTCGAGGGAACCAACACCGAGATCTCTGATTTTGCAGTGGCCCTGTATGCAGGTCTCTGGGCATTTGACGGCTGGGACAATGTAAGTTGAGACTAAACCATCTCTAAAATGCTCCTACTCACACATTTTAGACCAACTATGTGACAGGCGAATTCAAAAACCCAAACCGCGATCTGCCACGAGTTATCCACACGGCGATGCCACTTGTCATCCTATCCTATCTGCTTGCCAATGTCTCATATTTCCTTGTTCTCCCTCACTCAACCATTGAGGCGAGCAACACTGTCGCCGTACAATTTGGCGCAAAAGTATTCGGCGCCGCCGGAGCTCTGATTCTAGCCCTCGTCGTCTCAGCCAGCTGCTTCGGAGCCCTCAACGCAACCACCTTCACAAGCGGCCGACTAGTCTACGCAGCCGGAAAAGAAGGCTATCTCCCCTCGATATTTGGCCGCATCGGTCTCCACGCCTCCCCCTCGCAAGGCCCTCCAGCAAGCAGCCGACTACGTCGCCGCTCCTGGGCCCGCAAGTCCCTCTCCCGTCTCTTCGGCGATGAATCCAGACTCGGCTTCACACCGATCTACGCCATGGCCTTTAACAGTGCCCTGACTGCCATCTACATCGTTGTCGGCGAGTTCGGCACCCTCGTCACTTTCTACGGTGTAGCCGGATACACCTTCTACTTCCTCACCGTTCTTGGCCTGATCGTCCTCCGTATCCGTGAACCCCAGCTGGAACGTCCCTACCGCACTTGGATCACCACACCCATCATCTTCTGCTGCGTGAGCCTGTTCCTTCTCAGTCGGGCTGTTATCTCCGAGCCCCTGCAAACCCTCATCGTCGTCGCGTTCATCATCACCGGCGTACCGGTCTACTACTGGCGTATCTACCAGCGAGATGGTCGGATCGATCTTCCCAGCTGGAAATTCTGGAAACGAGGTTCTCGATAGGTTCGGGAAAACTCTCCGCCCGCTCCGTTCTTTTTTTGCTCTTATGATTGTGATACCCATGCATATATAGCTGGGGTGTATGGTACGAAGTGAAATCTGTGCTTGGTGTTTGTGTGTTTTGTATTCGCGCTTGCAATGGAAGCCTGTTTGGCGACGATGTGATGACCTGGCTCTAGGCGGGTGCATTTTGATTGCTTTATCTTCTTGCTGGTTTCAAGATGCCCCATGCCGCATCTGCTTCTACCCTGTTTTATTACTAAGATCTACTGCGCTGCATACTATACATGTCGTGCATACTAACTATATATAATGTTCATAATATTTGCATATTGCATTTCTTCATACACCAAGTCCATCCCAAATAGAAGCTCGCTCGAGGACCGCAGCTGGCTGTTCATCATTTGCTTCAGCGTCAAACTCCGCGAAGAATAGTGGTCCCAAGCAATGATCCGCTGGGTGGTAGATGCGTGTAGATATGACCGTTCTATCATTGACAAACACTTCCAACACACTGGCGTCAAAGTAGGCGTGTACTCGAAGTGTCTCCTCAACCTCTTCCCCATGTTCATTCAGGAAAGTAAATAGCGTGTGCGGAGCAGTTTCATGGCCGTGGTTTATTTCGGCGTTGTGAATCAGTGGTCGATGGATTTCGAAGGTTTCACTTCGTGGATCCCAGGAAAGTGTAGTACAATCTTGACCATCTAGAAAAACAATATCAGTATATATACGATAGACCCAGGGGACCAGAATCACTGTCTTACCAGAAGTGTGTGGAATCCTGATACCCACGCGGGCACAAGATTTACCAACGGAAAATTCAGCGTCGATTTCCCATTTAGATGTTTCTAGCAGCATAGCACTTTGTGAAGGTGATGTAGACAGAGCTACCCCAGCGAGCTGGCTCTCCCGGGCACTTTGTCTCAGCCGCGTGAGTCGGCTATCCGGGCTGATCTTCATGGTATGAATGGTGAAGGTACCACGTGCATCGGGGACGGCGTCGAGTGAAGTAATCGAACTCAACTGAGAGATTCGTGCCTGCTTGACATTTTTCAATGTCATCAATCCCACCACACGAGGAAGAGAAACCAAGCCGCTGAATCCTTGGCGATGGCGCAGAGAGTCGGGTAGGTCCTCTTCCGTGATCCAGCCATAGACGATACGTTGTGAGGTTTGCGGGTCGTAGAATGAGTTGGCCGCATAGTAGCAGCCGTGATCGAAGATACCAGAGAATGCATATGAGGCTAGGGGACTGTCTGTGGAGGTAGATTTCTTTTCCCCGTTGGATTTGATAGACATCCAGAGCTGGGCTCGGGGTACTCGTTTCTGGCGTGCTTCTTGAACCCCATCTTGGTTTGAGCTATCCAACGGTACACAGCCTTCGGCTCCCATGATGATGAAGTCCCGAGAATTGCCAGTGTCATTGCTCAGGGTCATCAGATTAACGACCTCCCAGTTCACGCCGTAGTCGCCAGACCAGCGAGATGGTCGTAGATTGAGACCGACATCCATCAACGGGCCAATGAAATCCCATTTGGTAAGATCTGTTGCTTGAACAGTGTACACAAAGACCGTAGGGGTTTTATTGGCGATTCCTCCCGATATAAAGCCATATAGTGTTGACGGTGTGTGTTTGGAAAGAGGTCCATCGGCCCAAGTAGTGAGCCAGGGATCTCTCCAGCCCGTCACGTTAAGATGTGCAGGTGGGCCAGGGAGGACCGGGTTGCAATTTTGGCGTTCCCAGGTCTCGCCTCCATCTTGCGAAACAGCTAAACTGAGAGTCTCACTTCCGAATGTATATGGTAACGTATAATGAATTGGGAGATGTCTCACAGAGGTGTATATTATTGTGAGAGCTCCTGGCTGTCCGGAGATACCGGTTGGCTGTAGACATCCCGTAAAGACTCCCAAGCGATCGTATTCAACAGAGGGTGTCAAGATAGGATCAGTAGATGTCTTCCATGACACCAGGTCTGGGGATGTAGCATGGCCCCAGGACATATTGCCCCAATCATTCCCGTGCGGGTTCCATTGAAAGCTCAAATGGTATAACCCTGTTTCTGGATCGTATCCTAATCCAGAAGGGTCATTCATCCATCCTGCTGGCGCTGTGACATGAAATGATGGTTTCCATTGTGAAGGATTCTGAGGTAATTTCTTCTCTTCATGAGTTTTGCAAGGAGATTTCCCAGTGTTTTGCTGATGTTGAAGGACAAGCAAGTCAGACTCTGTAATGACAGGAGCAGACATGTTCAATATTGGATCTGATTGCAAAAATAATAAAAAAATGGACTCGTCGTCGGACCAAGTGGAGATGTAGTCCCAAGATCTATTGTAGTTCAGATTTGCTTATTTCAGCCACTACCCACATACGGTATTACCTGAGAGGTATACTTTGAGGTTCCAAAATTATAGCTTGAGGGTGTAATTCCCAGAAAATAAAAGACAAGATCATGGAAAGACCTGATCTTCAACAATGATTTCCCGATTCGGGGGTTAATCGGAAATATGTTCGGCATTTGCAGGAGGATTGTCGGCGAAATCCAATTAAATCCAATTAAACTGGCAAATGAGTCGAGGAGATGATCAGAAGATGGTCCGATGGGGTAATGAAGTATATCTAGATCAGTCCATCGCCCTGCAGTTGAAACTGCCTGAAAATGACTGAAACTACCTGAAATTTGACTGAAATGGGAAATCTCGGAGAAACTCACCAAACAAAAATCCGGGGCTTAGGTTTTTGGGAAAGAAAATCCGGGGAGGGAGGGTCCGGGGAACTTCCCCTTTCCCCTATCCTCCCCCCAAAACATATCATCACATCCAACCATGAATCGATATAGACCCAATTGATATATCTATGGAAGTGTGTCGTCGAGGGTGTGGACTTAGACGCATCATGTCTCTCAAATGTGCTTCAGCAGAAACACAACATGTCGACTACTCGGACAGGGAGTCACGTCGAAAATCAGCCATCAATATCCAGTTAATCGTCGCCTGTACAGTATTCGGTGCCGCCTCATTCCTGTTTGGATTTGACGACAAGATTATCTCACCGGTTGCTGCATTACCGGATTTTGTGGGTGCTGCTGCACCATGACAAAAGATCCAAGCTGATTCCAACGCAGGTGGGAAAATTCCAAGGACCTAACCCAGTCACTGGGAAATACGCTCTTACAGCTCGCAATCAAAATCTGGTCTTCTCCCTTCCATTGGTGGGATCCGTGTTTGGCGGCCTGCTTGCTTCGCCATTGAATTTCCACCTTGGTCGCAAATGGCCGTTGATTATTGCATATTTCGTCTCTGTGGGTGGTGGATTACTGCAGGTCTTTGCCCCAAACTTAGGGGCCTTTGTGGGAGGTCGCTCTATAAATTCGGTTGCCTTGGGAATTATAAATGCAACTGCCCCTTTGTATATCTCTGAGGTATTGATCCTTTACGCCTTGGTCGATCGGTTCAATCCCGCTAATTCTTACTCTTAGGTGGTTCCCGCTTCTATACGCGGAAGATGTGTCAGTTCAATGAACATCCTGAATCTAACGGCTGGCGTGGTAGGTACCGCGGTGGTCTTTAGAACGGAAAAGATCGCTGGGAATCTATCGTACCAAATTCCACTGGCTGTACAGTGTGCTCTGCCTGTGATTCTCCTATTTTTGACGGTGACCCTTCCAGAAAGCCCACAATGGCTGGTCGGGAAGGGGAAGATAGAACATGCTCGACACAGCCTACGGAAACTGCGTGGGTCCAGCGATGACGAGGTTGAGGATGAACTCCGTCTCATGAGGCTCTCTGAAGAAAGCGAGCGCCAGCTACATGCCCAAACCAAGTTCTGGCATATATTCCAGCGGCAGCACCTCAAGCGTACGCTGACTGCGGGCTCGTTCTTCTCTCTTAATCAAATATCAGGCATCATTCTTTCAACAACATATACAACTGTCTTCCTGACAGAGCTGGGCATTGCAGATGCCTTCTCTCTGACAATCATCGCATCTTGTTGCACATTAGCAGGCACCATTGCCGCACCATTCGTCATCGACCGTGCCGGTCGACGTCCCACAGCATTCGTCGGAATGGGGATTCTGTTCGTAATCGATACCGTGGCCGGTGGCCTGGCCTTCAACAGAGGCAACAAGAAAGCCACTATGGCCATCGCCGCTTTGTCCTTTGTATTTAATTTCTTTTGGGCATCATCCTTCTTCTCACTATCCAACCTCATGCCCTCCGAAATGGCAACTCCCAAACTCCGCCACCATACCATGGCTTACACAATTGCCTGTGCGCAAACAACCGCCGTTATCACCACTCTCGTCGTTCCGCAGCTAACTTCGGCGGATGCGGCAAACCTTGGCGCGAAGACTTATCTCATCTTCGCTGGTTGTATGGCCGGCATCATTATGTTTTTCTACTTTTTCATGCCGGAAACGCGTGGCCGAACTTTTGCCGAGATCGATGAGATGTATGCGGCTAAGATCCCTATGTGGAAGTGGAGGTCGTATCGGACTTCATATGAGCGGAGATCGCGTGCGTCAAAGGGTTGACATGATCCAACACTATTCATATCTATAATTGAAGGCTGTAATATACTTGCAGGGTGAATGCTCTGTGCTCTTCGCATTATACCATGGACATATATATATATATATATATAAAAACTTGGGTATAGTTAAACTCGCTCTATTGGTACACTGTAAAATCCAGTGTATAATGGGGGTTCCATGTACAACATGAGTCAATGAGTTCTAAAAAAAAGAAAATCATACAACCCGAAGACCCATTCCATACAATCGGAAAGATCACTCGGGAAAAATCAAAAAGCTCCCTGCAACAGCCTCAGTCATCGTTGCGGCCACTCCGAAGCTTTGGGTTCCATAATCTGGAGCGAGCGTAGATGAGCTCTATACTTCTCTAGATAGGGATGGTTTCCGCCGCGGAAGCTGGTCATAAGTAACAAGAAGTCTTCTGCGAGACTTTGGGGCGTAGAAGTCGTGGTCGATGGTATTCTTTCAGTGAAATTGACGGGCATGTTCATGCCAACTCCGTAAGATGGGCTGGTATTGCATAGGATGTTCGTTGCGCAGATTGCGATATCGTACAGTTTTTCGGTCTAGATATCGAGTTGTTAGTTAGGAGTCAAATTCACAAGCCGACCCCATCTACAGGCTATAGATGAGGATAAATTACATACCAGACCGATGCCATGGGCTTCCATAGAGCTCAACCGTAATGACTGACACAGCTGAAGAGTGGTCTCAGCAATGGATACGGCATATCCGAAGGTTAGCTCGGGATGTTCCGAATGGGCACTCAGAAGCCCGTGAGTTGAGGAAAGGAGCCAGACACGGTTCTGGAGCCATTTCTGGGTGACAAAAACGTCGGCTGCTTGAGTCTCTCGTAGGCCCATGGCAAATGTGGCATTGCTAGATTCGCCACGGCCTCCCTTGGCTCGCTCGAACCAGTCATAGCCGCGATATCGTTCAGCCTGGTTAACTCGATTGAGATTTTGGTGAATGGAGAGTGCCTTCACTTTGGTGAGCCGCGGGCAGTAGCCGTTGCTACTATCGCATCGGCGGTTCCAGCAGTCGATGACATCTTCGTCGATAGCATCGAATAGTTCCATCATTCGTGCGAGACCCATCATCCCCTCGGCATCTTTCTCGTTGTGGACCATAATTCCGGAGACGACACTATGCGTAGCGCTGTGGATGAAGTCATGCACTGACCGCATGGTGAATCCCGGCTTCCCCCAGAAGGTGATTGGGTGTCGCCGTTGCAAAGCATAGGCTCTGGAGTTCCTAGTCAGCGAGTCGATTTTTAAAACTAGTTAGTCGGTTACTTACCTTTCGGTAATAGAGAGGACGAGATATGTTCGTAGTCGCTGGCCTTTCTCTTCCCCAGACAGATCCTGATATGACTCGGGATCATTCAATCCCAGCGTGGCCGCAAGATCTAGTGCCTCCCGTATCCGGAGCCACGCTGCGTTATGCTGGTTACTTCCAAACAAACAACCAAAGAGGAAAAAGCTGGTAAGGACAGCTTCGATGGTTGGGTTCTCGCCAAAATCTGAACAACTTCGCATTTTGGTCGCTTCATTCATCATGGCTCGTGCCTGCAGAGCTCGCGATGAGGTGGTCGGCCGCTCGTTGATCTCAATTGGTTGTGTGAGCGAGAATGCACAGAGAGACAAGAGCATGGCGCCGAATTGAGAGTTCTTGCGATGCTCCTGTGTGATCATCGACGTGTACAGGGATGATCGGTTGAGAACGGGGATGGTCGGATGCAGTCGATCAAAGTAGACGTCAATCCAGGGGATCATATTTGCTTCGTTGATTGTGGATGGCCAAACTGCATCGGTCTCCTGGGTATCTGAGTGCATGGACCTTACGGTTGGTGAGAATGGCATATTTGGAGCTTCCTGCGGAGGCATCCCCATGGCCCCAGCATCGGGCACTGGTTGAATGATGGATGGGAGAGATGGCCTGAGATATACATTACTTCCTGGATATTCGAAAACGGGGACCTGAGAATCCAGATTATCTGGAAGCCAGTACTCGACGTCATTTCGATCATTCCAGCTCATGGCGCTGGCGCTGTTGCTGTGAGAATCTATAGATGGGGTTTCCTCGCCCCAGGGTGCCATTGGAGGTGGTATACCTGGAGGTGGCAGTCCTCCGGTCCCTTCTAGGGGCATCGTGGTTGGACCATGAGTGGGGGTCCAAGCTGGTCCGGGCAAAGCACCGGCTTGTCCGGACTCCACCGATGAAGTTGGAGTTTGGAATTGGAAGCCACTCTTAGATTCTTCTTGGGGAGTTATAACAGTTTGCTGTTGTCGAATTTGCGACACGCGACTTTATCCCAGTCAGTGATATTATTCACGGTCACGGGGTGATTACTCACTGCCCGGTTGGTCCGCGCTTCTTCTGTGGTTGAAGGAATGTACACTCGAAGCCCATGGACTCACAAGCCTTGCAAGGCTGTGACAAGCTACACTGGAGGCAAGTTAGTATGCTCATTGGGATCATTGCAATCATTGGAATCATTGGGATTTTGATACATAAAGGGGTGAGGGGGATGTCTTACCTTGATCTTGCGGAATTTGCATTGGTCGCACGCTCTCTTAGCGATCGCGGATTTATGTGATCGGATAGCACCAGTGGCACTGGGTGTGGTGCCCGTAGGAGATCTCCTTGCTTCCATGTTTATTTGAAGCTCTGTTGAACTCGAACTTCGAGCTATTCAGGCAGAGAGAGATTGAAACATAAAATCTAGTGAGGTCGAAGAAGGTTTGACCCACATCAAATTGGCCCCCTTCCCCGCCTCCTGTTCCTCTTCCTCTTCTCTTCATCTTCTTCTTCTCTTGGAATATTCTCAATTCAATAAGATTATCTTATCCAAAATTGACCCCAAATTAATTGGGGAAAATGGATAATACGGCAAATCCCGGTTAGATAAAGAAAAAAAAAAATTTTACTCCAAATATGCCCGCAGTGGTAATTTGACGAGAGTGTGCCACGTTCCCCACTTGATAAGGGTGGCTCTCGGACAGCAGTCCGAGCAGAGCTGACTAGCTGGCTAGCTGGCTAGCTGACTATATTAAGCTAGTCTTAACCTCCAATAGGACTACAATTGATCCAATTTAGAAAATGGGCAGCTTACAGACTTGGGAAGAGATTGTCTTCCAGAAACGGCTCATCAGAGACCAACTCCTTGCCCCGTACTTAGTCGATGTAGCTCAACGTCTGCCGCAAGTACAGAATCCCGAGGAGCGTACTCGATTAGAAGATCCCTCGATCCAAAAGATCACAGACATTGACAATGTCACCGCTCTGCTCGAGTGCCTAGAGAAAGGAGAGTTTCAAGCAGGACAAGTGATCAAGGCATATATCCAACGGTATGTCTTTTATCGAGGGTTGGAACAGCCCATATACTAATCCCATCGGTAGCGCTGTGGTAGCACATCAATTGGTATGTGCCTTGCATCTTCGTTTCTATTGCTATCCCCACTGATCAAATCTGGCATGGATAGACAAACAGTTTGACCGAGATTCTGTTCGAAGATGCAATAGAACAGGCAAAGCAGCTAGACGCCGACTTTGCAGAAACAGGAAAGCTCAAAGGTCCCCTGCATGGAATCCCAATTACGCTGAAAGACCAATTCAACGTAAGAGGCGTTGACACGACCCTGGGATACGTGGGCAGGTCCTTCGCTCCCGCCCAGGAAGACGCAGTGCTCGTGCAGATCTTGAAGAGCATGGGTGCCATCGTCATCGCAAAGACAAACCTTCCACAGAGTATCATGGTTCGTCGGAGATTATCATTGGCAGTATCTGATTCGGAGATTGACTCTACCTCCAGTGGGCCGAAACCGAGAATCCTCTCTGGGGACTCACGACCAATCCTCGCAATCCAATTTTCTCGCCCGGTGGCTCAACTGGTGGCGAAGGTGCTTTGTTGACATTGCATGGATCACTATTTGGATTCGGAACTGATATCGGCGGAAGCATAAGAATCCCACAGTCTACAGTGGGCTTGTATGGCTTCAAACCAAGCGTAAGTACCAACCGCCATGGACAAGCTGCCTTTCTCCCTCTTTCCACTGATGAATACTTATGATCCCAAAAACATAGAGCGCTCGACTCCCCTACCAGGGCGTACCCGTCTCTACCGAAGGCCAAGAACATGTCCCATCTGCCATTGGTCCGATGGCCCGAGATCTCTCGTCTATCTGCTACATGAGCCGTCTGATAGCAAACAGTCAGCCCTGGGACCTCGATCCGCGATGCGCCCCTCTTCCCTGGAATGACACTGCATTCCAAGAACTTCAAGACCGACCTATGGTCATTGGCTTGATCCTGGATGACGGCGTGGTAAAAGTCCACCCACCTATTGCGCGCGCCCTGCTGGAACTCTCAGAAGTGCTTAAAGCACAGGGCCATGAGGTTGTGGTCTGGGATACATCTGATCATGCGGGGTGCATTGAGATTATGGATCTCTTCTACACGGTCGACGGAGGCGAGGATATTCGTCGAGATGTAGCTGCTGCTGGCGAACCATTTATTCCTCACGTTGAAGGGCTGGTTAACCGCGGCAAAGCTGTCTCAGTTTATGAGTATTGGCAGTTGAACAAGCGGAAAGCTGCCATGCAGAAGAAATATCTGGATAAATGGAATGCGGTGCGGTCTCCGTCGGGTCGGGCTGTCGATGTTCTGTTGAGTCCTACTTTGCCGCATACGACTGTGCCTCATCGGAAATTCCGTTGGGTTGGCTATACTAAGATTTGGAATTTCCTAGACTATCCAGCTTTGACTTTCCCAGTGGATAGGGTGAGAGCCGAGCTGGATGTGTTGCCTTCGGAACTCTACGTTCCCAGAAACAGTCACGATGAGTGGAATTGGGATCTTTACGATGCCAACCAGGTGGATGGATATCCGGTGAATCTGCAGATCATCGGCAAGAAACTTCACGAAGAGAAGGTACTAGGGGCTGCTACAGTTATCGAGAAGCTCTGGAAAAGCCATGTCGACAAATTATGAAGTTGGTTCATCATCTGTCAAGCTCAAGCATGCAGTTCTAGTCTCATGATTTGTACATGATAATGGTGACATCAACCTATACACTTCCAATTTAAAGACATCGAATGTTCTATACCTCTCTATACCTCTCTATCCCTCTACCTCAAACTCAAGGACTATCAGTCAATATTTCTCAATATTGAGAAGCTCAAACTTCTCGGCGTCAAAGCCTCCCAAGTGGATGTATCCGATGAGAAACTGCAATTCGACCCTTGCTTCTTCGAGCCATACCCAGAGAAGATTTTTCACAAATATCCAATGGTGACTCCAAGGGACATTGAAGAACTGGATGATCCACCAACATTGGATGACTTTCTAGAGGAAGCGAAAAAGTTCTCTGCGGACGAAAAAGAGCAACTTGCCATCGCAAAGTCTAGACATAAAACACACTATGCGGAGTCCACTCGTGACGGGTGTTATGGCAATGCCCTGGAAGTCCATCGACATATTGACTGGCACCTTGGTCATATACGAACGACGAATGCAGATGCTTACAACGTGGAGGACTGGTTCTATCTCAGTCAGCTCACTGATCTTGAGTGTGTTGGGTATGTGGATAGCGAAGATGGTACGTGGTAACAGTGCTGACCTTTTCTAGTAAGGTACAAGGTTGGAAGAGAGGTGACCCCATACTGCACGAGTTGTTCACACTCAATGTTCTTTGGAAAGTGGAATACGCCTACCGACCTCGGGACAATGGCAACCGCGGAAAGCCACATTTCATTATGGAAGTCATCTCGCATGCATACGCGAGTGCCGAAGATCAAAGTCTGACTATACATAAGCTGAGGGATATTGTGTGAAGCGGTTGGTCTAGAGACCTCTACGCTTTATGTTAGATGATCTGTTTAGCTTGGTACCATTGCTTGTTGTATTTGACTATCTTTAATTGTAGATCAATTATGTATACTCAAAGGTTATATATATTGAAAAGTCTCTTGCACGGAATATCCTTTTTTTACTGCCTTCGTATACATCTAAAAATACTAATAAAAAGACATGACAAGACTGCATAAGCGGCTGACTATTCTTGTCCCTTGTTACTTGGGTACGTCAACTTGATTTTTATCCACCAATGGAAGTGTTGAGCGAATACGGTGTTTATTTTTCAAAAATTATGTACATGGGAAGTGAATTGGAATCAGACAAGTCGGTTCAATCACCCTTAAGACCAAAAAGAGAAGCGTTCAGCTTCGACAAGTTTGCTTTCTCTATATGAATAGCTAGATAAATTTTCATGAATAGATAAGATGACTGAAAAGCCACTGTGCTAGGTACACGACATTCAAACTGGTTCGTGGATCAGTATCAATTCGCAGACTGAATGGCGCATATCGCCGTTGATTGAACTAATTTTGGGATAAATATGGTAGACATAACTCATTATGCAGCTTGATGGGATATCTGCCTCCAGAGTCACTTAAATCACAAACGCCGTGGGAATATGCAACAAGACAAGCACTCTGGAGTCTCAAGCCTTGGGAGGCTCGAACAGATCGGGTTTCATGTTGATCTTGCAAAGCTTCGCCACACAGCCGCTCAGTTGAAGTAGTGATTGCACACCATCTAGGATACGCATATGGGTGAATCCAATCTCCCGAATGAACTCCAGCTTGGAATGCTCCGACAACGTGGGGATGGTCTTGGTGACTCGGAACATGGTACTGATAATATCGTGAGACGAGTATCCCAGGGTCCTGTGGATATAAAATGGTTAGAAACGTCCAGCACCTCGAAGCAAACACATTGACATACCATAGCTCGTTCAGCCCTTCCAGTGCCACATCCACCTTGCCCTCCCAGCAAGCCTTGATCATGGCCTGGACTTTGACTGGGTGCGGACTGTCAACTACTCGGAAAACATTGTCTCCGCTGACGAAACCGAAACCGGACCAAGTACTCTGCAGGTTGTTGATAGCCTGACGCATGTCACCCTCTGCACTGAAAACAAGTGCGGCAATGCCATCCTCGGAGTGCTGAACCTTCTCCGCTTCGCAAATTTGCATCAACCGTTTCACAACCTGAGCGTCTGTCAACCGAGCATAACGGAGAATAGCGCAACGTGATTGAAGGGGTTCAATGATCTTGTTCGACTGGTTGCAGGCAAAGGCAAATCGTGTGGTGGAGGAATAGATTTCCATAGTACGGCGCAGGGCTTGTTGGGCACCGGCGGTCATGCTGCAGGGATATGTGAGTCTAACGGCCAAAATGAAACTCTGCCGGGAACAAACCTATCTGCTTCATCGAGGATGACCAATTTATGGCGTCCTTGAGGAAGGGTAACCTTCTTTTGAGCAAAACCTTTGATTCGATTCCGCACCACATCGATACCTAGACCACCACGGCATCAGTCTCGACCAAGTCATAAATGCAATTATGCCCAAACTAACCTCTCTCATCACTGGCATTCAGCTCCAGAACTGCCTCCTTGTATGCATCTCCCAGCATTTGCCGCGCTAGACATAGTACTGAAGTGGTCTTTCCGATACCCGGCATGCCGGAGATGATAACGTGTGGCATATTACCATCTTTGGCAATGATCTTTAACCGCTCCACTGTTTCAGTGTTGCCGACAATATCATCAAGGAAGGTTGGGCGATATTTCTCGACCCTATAAGGCAAAGGTTAGCTCTGCCTGATATTCTTGTGACAGGGAAAACCTACCAGGGAAGCTCATAGTCCACAGGGGCACCGGTAGTATTTGGCTTGGCACCATTGCGAGAAGCAGTTGAAGATTCAGCTTGGGCCATTGTGAGTATTGTGAGTAATTTGGTGATTCCAAAGTGAAGAAGCCTTGGAAGTGCAGTGAAGGGAAGACGCGAAAGAAGCACTTGGGCACGCGTGGGAAACGCGATAACGGGCTTATCAGCTGGCCTGTGCACTTGACAGTGTTGGGCATTGAGATATTGAAGCTGTTAAAGCTTTGATGGTATTCCTTTATATGATACACTCTCTATAGGATCCTTGGTAGTCAATTGATCCTATTACAATAACTGCTGCACACTTAGTTTCGTTGAACGGCGTTGTGGTCGTTTCTTTTCTCATCTACTTCATTCCGCACCATTCTTCCTCTCTTCACCCCAACAACAATTATTCTTAATACCTAGAAGCTGGGAAATGACTACGTTCCCTCTAACTTGCATACCCTGACATACACAGCTCGAATCAACCCGCTCCTCAAAACGTACACATTCCCTCTCGACGCGCACGGCTCCCCACATACTCAGAACCTCCGGCCAAACACAACACCGAAAACACAAACCGCGGTGTGTACAGTCATGCAAACATCTGGAATCATGAACCAAAGCTCCGTCCGTCGCAACCTATTCCATGGGAACCTCAGCCGCCGACCTGCTTCTGCAGGACCACCCAATGGCGCAGTTCCTCAAAACCACAACGGCCTTTCCAATCGCCCTTCGCACCGGTTGAAGACTACAACCTCGGACTCGGGGCCACATACTCGGCCATTTAAAACTGTGGAGAACAAAGATATTGTGGTTCGGGACAAGAATGGCAGCTATAAGCTCGAGATTCCGACATTGCCGCAGGCTCTTGTTGGAGAGGATGGAGAGGAGCTAGCTGAACTTGCGCCGGAAGATGGAGGATTCGTTTCTTCAGAGCTCACTGGGTGTGACAAAGAGAGTATGTTTTTTTTTTTTTTTTTTTTGGCTCGATGATGTCTCCTCTGTGAGGTATAGTCTGCTAATACTTGACTCAAGAGTTCGAGGCGGCTCTTGTAGAGATGATGGTTCGGCATCGGACCAGACAATCGAACGGTGAACCTGATGGTAAGCTAACAGCCTGATTGGAGTCAGATGGTAGTTTCGGGGGTCATATACTGATCGGAAATAGAGATTCTAAATATGGTTCACGAGAGCCTACGCAAAAAGGCAGCATCATTGGATGATGATAATTGGATGTTTGAGCCGGAGAAGGACTCAATTTCTAACTAGACAGGACTGCGCTTGCTGCATGCATCTTGATCTCATTACACTATCAGTTGGATATGTTTCCTGCAAAGGCCTGCTTCAAAAGACCTACGTCTCGGGCCTCTTAATCGAGCTCCATGCTCGACGGCGGTGCCTCAACCTTCTTCGCAGTTCTGGATGCTCCTTTGGCACCTGTCTTGTTCTGACCTCCTCCAAACAACATACCGCTCATCATGTCCATCAAGGGGTTTCCTTGCCGGGGGATCTTGATGGCGAAGTACTGCTCACCAATCTGAGCCAGAGCATCGTCCCAGATACCGACTTCTCGAATTTGTGTCGCATAGTGTGCAGTGAGTTGTCGGAAGAGATCGGCACTCCCGCGCTGGATGGCCAACAGCAACATCGTGATGAAGTTCACCAAAGGAAGGGCAGGGAAGACCCGGGCGTCGGAGCTGGCACTGCTGACATCTTGCACACCGAGCTGAGGATTGGCTGCTGCAAGCCGTGAAGTGAAAATAAGCAGGGCTTTATTCGCGCTGCGGATATTGCCGGTGAGGAGGTATGGGAAGACTGCGCGTGACGCATAGATCGCTGCGGTGTGCGGCTCATCGCTGGTGTACCACTCATACTCGAGCTTTGCGAGGGTCTCGGCTGATTCGGAGGTTCCTAGGATGAGATGTTTCTCGGCGTCGTATGGCTCGTTATCTGAGGGACTAGGTTAGAATCTATCAAAAATTGCGCTCTGACATCACTCACCTTCGGCGTATACTGAGCCGACAGCATGATGTAAATCCGGATCTCCTCGTTCAAGTGGTCCAAACTTAGCACTCCATCCAATCATTTCTTGGATGAATCTCTTTCGTGTAGGTTCGTCGGACGGGAATTCGCGCAGTAGCTCGATCAGGCGCTCTGCAGAACAAAAATAGATAGGTTAGCAATGCTAGGTCTGTGGTAGCTACTGAGGCAACCTGAAGCACCACGCTGCAGTGCTCGACCCCCAGTAGTTAAAAAAAAAAAGAGATTTGATAGACTCACTCTTCCGGGCCCGACCCTCTGCATCATCATTACCACCTGAAATCTCCCATTCGGCTTTGTTGTATACTTCGAGGACCAACATGATGGCCAAGTCTCCACCACTGGCCGATGCGCCCTGCTGAGAGCCAGCTTTCAATAGCTCCTTCGCGCCACCAGCTAAGATCTCCGCCGCAGCATCGTAGTTGGACTGCTTGATATACCGGGCAGCAATAACACGTAGCTGCTGGTGAGCTTCGTAGTAGGCACCATCGGCAATCCTATAAACAGCAACAGACAGTCAGAATGGGATCTTTTGAGCTCCAAGGTGGTCCGAGATGGTTACGGGCCAGGTGGGATTCTCACTTTTCTCGCTGGCGGGCGATGACCTTATCAATCCGGGATGACATTGCGGACTAAAAGGAAGCGCTGATCAAATAAATCAAAGAAAAAGTCGAATCGAGGACGCTATCAAGTAGAGTGCGCAGTGCAAGAATGTTCGCGGGGGAGTTGACTGAGACTTGGTGGGGACACGGCAATTCCAGAGCCCTGGAGAACATGGCATCCTCCGTCATCTCCTGAAAATTACCTGATGGTTGTTTTATAGCTGGGAATATCAGCTTTGTTTTTACTCGAAATTTGCTACTTCTGCTGTTTGGAATCTGTTCGTCCTATTGACCCCCTGTTTCCGGTGATATTACGATAATACCACGCCATTACGGACTTCCCTAACGACTATACAAGCTACCTCACTAGGTCGCGACAATCTATATTAAGGACCAAACAATCGCTCTTGTCTATTCAACAATGTCCATCACCCAATAGTGCGACAAACTTATCATGAATCGATCTACTTTTAACAT